TATCCACCATTTCCCATGTACCAGACCAAATTTGATCCAGTGGAAAGTCTGATCTGGCGCCGAGTGCAGATATCATTAGCCAATTTCTAGGGCCGCGACGGCGTGGCATCCAGAGGATCATCCCAGAACGGTAAAACCAACGGGATCAACTCACCAAAAATAGCAGCACTTTGTAAAATTGGAACCATGGGAAAAAAACAATTTCAATCCTCATATTTTAAGTATACCCGATGTCCCAAATATTCCTCCAGATAAACATAGATGGCACAACATTCACCAGCCGTCGCGGTAGGCCGTCACCGCCCCGCTACCGCAATGCGCTTTTGCCTTGCTTTTGGGTCACCTTTGGACTCGGGCTCAAGGCACCTGGGGACGAAATGGGAGGATTTGTGTCATGAACTAAGGACCAGAATTGTTATTAATAACATTTTAATGAAAACTCTCGTTATTCAATAATAGATAAATGATGACAATGCCAGTAGTGCCGCGCAAGGCTGTGGCGGAAGTTTCAAAGATAGGACACTATAGGAGAGGTGAGTTGTTGTGATGCATGGATGGCAAAGCGAATCCATTGATGGACCGAAATGTGGTTGGAGTTGTGCTTTTTGGAGTGGTTGCAGTGGTCACCTCAACCACAACTGTTGGATGTAGTGTGGTGTAGAGTGCTGTGCAAGAATTATTTGTAGTGACTACAGTAGTACTTGCAGTTGTAGTTCTAGTTGTATTGTAGTTGTAGCTGTAGTTGATGTACTTGATGTAGTTGCAGTTGTAATGTTGTAGTTGTAGCTGTAGCTGTAGTAGTCGTTGTAGTTGTAGTTGTAGTCGCAGTTGTAGTTGTAGTTGTAGTTGTAGTGTAGTGGTGGTGAAGTGTGGTGAAGTGTGGTGAAGTGGAGTGTAGTGTAGTGTAGTGGAGTTGTAGCTGTAGTTGTAGTTGCAGTTCTATTGTAGTGTAGTTCAAGCTGCAGCTGTGGCTGGTGTTGTTGTAATTGCAATGGTGTTGTTGTAGCTGTAGCTCTAGCTCTAGCTCTAGTAGTAGTAGTAGTAGTAGTCGTCGTCGTCGTCGTAGTCGTAGTCGTTGTCGTAGTCGTAGTCGTAGTCGTAGTCGTAGTAGTAGTAGTAGTAGTAGTAGTAGTAGTAGTAGAAGTAGTAGTAGTAGTAGTAGTAGTAGTAGAAGTAGTAGTAGTAGTAGTTGTTGTTGTTGTTGCTGCTGTTGCTGTTGCTGTTGCTGTTGGTGTTGATGTTGATGTTGTTGTTGTTGTAGTTGTTGTTGTTGTAGTGGTTGTGGTTGTGGTTGTGGTTGTAGTGTGGTGAAGCGGTAGTGTAGTGTGGTGAAGTGGAGTGTAGTGTAGTGGGGTTGTAGCTGTAGTTGTAGTGCAGTGCAGTGGTATTTGCACTTGTAGTTGTACTTGTAGTTGTAGATGTAGGTGTAGTGGTGTACTAGTAGTAGTAATAGTAGCAGTAGCAGTAGCAGTAGTAGCAACAGTAGTAGTAGCAGCAGTAGTAGCAGTAGCAGTAGCAGTAGCAGGGGTGGTGGTGGTGGTGGTGGTGGTGGTCGTCGTCGTCGTCGTAGTAGTAGTAGTAGTAGTAGGAGTAGTAGCAGTAGTAGTAGTAATACTAGTAATAGTAGTAGTAGTAGTAGTAGAAGTAGTAGTAGTAGTAGTAGTAGTAGTCGTAGTAGTCGTAGTAGTCGTAGTAGTCGTGGTAGTAGTAGTAGCAGCAGCAGCAGTAGTCGTGCTCGTCGTCGTCGTCGTCGTAGTAGCAGTAGCAGTAGCAGTAGCAGCAGCAGCAGCAGCAGGAGGAGGAGGAGGAGGAGTAGTAGTAGTAGTAGCAGTAGCAGTAGCAGTAGCAGTAGCAGTAGCAGTAGTAGTAGTAGTAGTAGTAGTAGCGGTAGCAGTACCGGTAGTAGCAGTAGTAGTAGTCGTGGTGGTGGTGGTGGTTGTTGTTGTTGCTGTTGTTGTGTTGTCGTTGTCGTTGTTGTGTAGTGTGGCACGTTTGAACGTCCAAAAGTGGTCCGAACGTGGTGTTTTGCACATTTTGACTTCGAAATGTGCTTCGCGCCACAACGGCGTGCACTTTTTGAACATCTCAACTTCCAAAAGTGCTCCAAGCATGGTGTGTTTTGTGCATTTTGACTTGGATATGTGCTTCGCGCCACAACGGCGTGCACTTTTTCGACATGGCAACTTCCAAAAGTGCTCGAAGCGGAGGTGTTTTGTACATTTTGACTTCGAAATGTGCTTTTTCGGCATCTCAACTTCTAAGAGTGCTCCGAAGCTGAGGTGTTTTGTACATTTTGACTTCGAAATGTGCTTTGCGCCACAACGGCGTGCAATTTTTCATCTCTCAGCTGGCCAGATGGCTCCGCACCCGCCGCTTTAGCGAGCCTGCTTTTTGACTCTCTGGAGCCACAAATCATTGGAAAAACACAGTGAATCGCGACTTTTCTACCTTTTCGCGCACCTGCATCTTCTTTCTTCTGACTCTTTCTCTTCTCTGATCTTCTCTCTTCTTCTCTTCTCTTCTCTGACTCTTCCCACCTCTGCTTTTCCATCTGTCATATTGTCGGAAGGTTGACTTCTAAACTTCCTTCGAATAAATAATCATGTTTATAATGATATTTATGATTGTACACTACGTATAGTTCTAGTCAGTTTGATTCTATGTATAATGATATGTATATGATATGTAGAATCGTCATTCTTATGAAATTGACATTATAAATTCTTATTGAAAAAATGGTGCTGCTTAAATAATCGTAAATGTAAATCATTGTAAATCATAGATTTGATACTAATACTTGACCAAGTCTGTGGCTCCCAGTTGCGTTTACTTTTGACTCAAACCCAAGTGATAATTTTTTCCATTTCAGTCAAGCAGAAGGCACGTTATAAAAAACCGACACTATCTATCAATGTTTGCGCAGAAAAAAACCTGCAGGAATCCATCTTGTGTGCATCGATCTTTCCAGTTCAAGGTGAATTTTGCAGTGGGGAGCCAACAATAAATCGGCTGGAGATTCTAAAACCTGTCACTGTATGACATGCTGCCATGATTATGTCCACCCACTTTCGAATGTGTTTGTTTGAACATGGAGTACCACTACAGTAAATCGTTTGGTTCACCAGCATTCCTACTAAAATATGGCCTTGTATGAGGTATTATTGAAAGACACACTAGGCTTTCTGTATCTATGAAGAAAGGCTGACGAACTCGTCGTTTTCAATCTGCGACACCACAACTGCCCAGGGTCAGTGGGTCCACTTATTTCGGGACAAGCACACATTACCATCTTTACCTCACATTACTCACATTACAATCTTTGAAAGATTTTTGAAGTTCTACCTGGAAACCACAAGCCCTTTGGGTATCTTTGGGTCTCATCACGACCTGGTCTTGATTTCAAATTTCCAACAGCAAATTGCGGATCAACATCCAAGGCCCCTCGCCTCATCGTCACAGGTTTGGAGACGAGAGTATTGCGGTTCTCTACTCCTCGGCTGTTTCGATTGTGTGCAGAGCCACCCAAAGTCAGATGGTCATACAGCCACTCTTGGAATGTACTGTTTTTTTTTTTTGTGGAGTACAGAAACCATTTTGTCGCGTCTTGATTCCTTTCCATAGAGGTTGATCACATTTCAAATCCAGCCCTAACGCTCTGCTGACATGTGGTTTTGCCCAAAAATGGTGAATTGACTGCATTGTTTTTTGCCAATTTGAGATGTAAAACGATCACGCTTGATGAAAACAAACAAAAATCGGGTTATACCATGTTATATCATCATGGTCTGAAAATGTGATAATCATGATGAAAACCATCAAACATTGGGTTATACCATGATGATCATCATGGTCTGAACGTGTGATAATCATGATGAAACCAGCAAACATATTGATATCACATTTTCAGACCCACCCTCTTGACTCTCACACTTTTCCCGCCAGGGAACTTGAATGGCCTTCAAAACGGTCTCAACGTTGCTGTGAAAAAAGGTACGCCGAGGTCCCCCCAGAAAGGTCGAAAAGTACATACCAAAGCTCTTCCCAGTCACATGTATTTCTGGTTTTGTTAGTTGTGCAATGTATATTTATTTATATATTTATTTATGTATATACATATATATACATATATATATGTATATATATATGTATATATATGTATATACATGTATATGTATATATATATGTATATATATATATATCCGATGATATTTTGTGATATTCCCGCTAATCATTCATTTACTTAGCTTTGCCCCATCGTGTCACTGTAAAAAAGGAACGGTTTTTCAGCGCCGAAAAGTTCTGTGGATCCGCACGAGGTGTGAACTACACCTCGCTGGGGGTTTCCAGAAATGGGGATAAAAATGGATGGTTTATAAGGGAATCTGCTACTAAAACGGATGATAACTGGGGGTACCCCCCTATTTTAGGAAACCCCAATTTCTGGCTGCTGGATGAGAAGGGAATTATTTTTTGGGGTACCAAGCGCCCGAAGTCATGGCTTTCCCGAAGTCAAGTGATGACAAGCCCATTTTGAAGATTGAGCGACCCTTGATACCCCATTCATAACCTTCCTCGGGTCTAATATTGGTTTCAGATTCTAGTAGGAAAGAACATCCATGGTCTGGCTTAAATCAAACATGCCACATCTATTGTTTGACATTTGGTTTTTGATGCCAAGTCCCATTTTAATCAAACAGGGATCGTAATATGTCCAAGTCCAACATGCCAACCATTAAAAGAATCATCACCGACAAGAATATATATTTCGATGCTGCGCTGATGCCTGACAGGGCAGTGGACAATCCCCTAGTTGACGTTTTCGTTGTGAACATGTGAGCAGTGCCAAAAGCCTTTTTTAAAAATACCTTAGAATGCTTGGTTAAAGGGGAGTCCCATTTCATGGATTGTGATCATCATTGAAAACATATCATAAACTATATATAAATAAATATAACCATCTCATGGGTAGCTAGTAACTACTACTAACCCCCCAAAAAACATCAACCAATGCTGCTGCCAGGCTTTTTGAAGTGCCTGGGCCCCACACCCCATTGAGCCAAGAAGGGCTCACCCGCACCCAAGCGGTTCACCTGGCATGGCTGGATCCAGCCAAATGCGCTGCAACAACTTCACGCACGACTTCATCTTTTCGAAAAAAAGAAAAGGTAAGGAAAATACTCGTCACACATCTTAAATCATCTCCTAAATCTAGAGTTTTAGTGAGTTTTACATAGTTTTACAGGTTTACATCACACCTCTGAGGCCGTCTCCACAGGGATCTCCAGATTGTTACCTCAGCATTTGATCATCTCGTCGCGGCTGAGAAGGTGCACACATCAGAAAACATGACTGCATGGCAACCAATACCCTCTAGCCATGGACACCTACTGGCATTGAAGATGATGTGCGCACTGAAAACGCCGATTGCACGATATATTTTCCGATTGCCATGCTTGAGTACTAACATGTACTAACAGTTTTTCAACTGCAGCCCAGTTGCATGATTGAGGTGATATGGTCAGAGGTCAATTGCAAATGCGAAAAGATTACCCAACGGTTGATCATATTTCTTTACTGGCAACATCTTAATTTGTGTAGTTGTGGGTTCGTGTCCCAAATCAAGCTATTGGTCCGGGTCGGGTTCTTTGAGGTTGTCAAAAAGGCTTTATGTAATGAAGTGCCTGGGAAACCCACGAAGCAGAAACATAAACATATTCTTATGTGTAAATATACGTGATTATACACTTTTGTATGCATGACATGCATGACATGCAAAAAACATGCACTAAGCCCCCAAAGATGAACTGGACCTACATCCATGAGAAGTCTTCGCTTGTGAAAACCAGCCGCTGAACCTTTTCCATGAAAAACAACCATAATTCATCGGTAGCCCCAGTTTCAGACACATCCACTCTGAGTGCGACCTTTCCACAATTATCCATTAGCCAAACATCAACCCAACAACCTACCATTCACCAAAGTCTACGAAAGCTGGATAGGCTGCGTCCTGGCATGTCCTGACCTATTTGCTTGTTATTCATAAAGAATATACCCCGATATCATCATGTTCGGGTAGGTTTTCTCGATGTATACAACTAGAATGGCGTATTAAAACTCCAGACTCCAGGCTTATGATTTTCGATCACATGTATCATCTAAGGTCAACCAGTAGAATCAGTTTAGGCATCGCCAGAGATTCCCCCGCTTCCAGTGCTCCCGGCATTGAACATATAAAGCTAGAACCATCAAGGCCTCCGCAGGACGACAGGTCGTGACAGGTCTATGACCAATAGAAATGGTCACGACTCTTAGGGCTGAGCCATTGGGTACCTTGAAATTCTTGGAAATCTTGGATATCTTGCATACGTGCCGGAAGAATCCTGACTGATCAACAACCATGTTTTTGTTTATTCAGAAGTTCTCGATAGGATTACTGGAGACCCACATCTAGTGGTTGTTGGATTCCAAGCCGTCACACGCCAAGCAATGCCTACGAAATAACTGGGTGAAATGTCTCCAATTCAACGTCCACGAAAGTCAGAGTAAGGATGCGGCCAATGGCTTTCAAACTCAATGAGGAACAGCACCCCGGAATCTGTTGGGATGTTGCTCCAAGAAACCAAGTGGGCGTGTCTGAAAATGCGGTATGCCCCTAACCATCAATTTTTATGGGGAAAAAACTCTCTAAACTTATGATAAAAGCACATAAAAACAATGAAAAACCATTGAATGTTTGCCTTTCCATGCCTTTTCCATCCTTTTCCCATCATTTTTCAGGCACAAAAAATCACCAAAAGTCGCCCGAGCTGACCAGGATGAGGAGTGACATAAGGAGGCTTCTCCAACCTGGGCAGCGGGATTCCCGCAGACATGGATGATTCACTATAAAGGAATCATCAACGTTTGTGAAACATGAAAAAACCCAAAGCTCCAAAAACGAGTGTAGCTGGATGAGTGTAAATTGGTATGCCGTTGAGAATCATCATGAATAGATCATCATGAATATATATATATATATCATCCATGAAAAAAACACAACTATGACTATAAAGGCTAGTATAGCAATACATAACAAATCATAACAATACAAATCATCGAACTAATCATCAACCAACAGGGGTGCCTTGCAGCCAATTCACAGAAAACAATTAGACACGTGTGTGGGTATTGTGTCAAACGTGGGCATCAAAAAAATCATGTGGTTGATGCAAAAAAGGAGACCACCTATGGCTCCCCGGGTCTTGAAGTTGACCAAAACTCATAATCTGCTTGGTCCCAAGTCATCAAAAAGATGGAGCATAAATTATCACACATATTTAATGAAACATTTTGAACCCAACAGCCAGCGATTCAACTATATGTAATTATATTGTCTCATGTGCCTGCAACTGGTTGTATCATGTGATATCCCTGTGTTTGGTTTGTAAACTCACCATTTTCCTCATATTTGTGAGGTTGATTCGCTCAGGACTGCTGGAACTGGCAGCCTCCAGCAGCCAGGAACCTGGTGATGTTCCGTTGTTAGGTGAAATCGCCACGAAAAACTTACCCATCAGAGTACCTCTGGCATCCTCAATCAAACACAGCCATGGAACATCCCAATTTATAGACTCATCTTCCAATTCTTCCAATTCCCTTTAGTTCGGTGATTTCCCAGCTATGTTTGATGACATTTGATGACCCCACTCTGGCCCGGCTTCGCCACCACTCCCGCTTTGAGGCGTTTTGAGCGCTGGGCTTAAGGTCAGCTCCGCCTCCCCCATACCTCCAGTGGCTGGGCAGTTCACAACAGGCTGGATGGAACTTCCCTATAGATACGGTGCAAATGGTGATAAAGCCCTTAACATCATGTCGGTATAGCCACCAGAAAATGCAGACATGGAACAGCCACCATTTGTAGATCATGTTGCCATACCTCTGGGATAATATTTACAACCACAGGGTCCAACCAAATCACCCAATCCAACAGCAATTTTGGATAATTTTAGTTCCTCCACTCGAATTTGGACATCGGGGCAGGACACCTTCTGCATCTGAAATTAGATGCGACTGTCGACCACTAGTTGACTGGTGACTCGGGGGCTGGGTGATTGTCTGGTCTTTGGGAGCAGAGCAACTTGTTGATACAGCTGGGACGCGGGCAAGAAACACCAAAAACCCAAGTTACTTTCTTCGAGTGATCCCCCGCCCTGAAACGCTAGTCTGACATAGTTTCTGACATACCATCTGGAAGTATATATGGCATATTTCTTCTGGCCTTCTATCTGACATTCTTCCTGGCATATACTTTGACATTCTATCTGACATTCTATATGGCATCTATTCTGACATCTTTTCAGGCATTCATTCTGGTGTCTGGCTGAGGTCCGACAGTGCCCACTGAGATCTGGCGCTCGCCGTTGAGGACGAGGAGGAGAAGAGGAGAAGAGGCGGGATAGTCTGTGATCAAATCTAGAGACCCTCACCTGGCAGGTGGGGAACTACCAACCAAATGCGGCAAAAGTACATATAGTAAGCTTTTTTTGTGATATAATCATTTGCATTATTTAATGGCAACCTACTGTAGCCTGTATTCAGGACCATGACATGCTAAACTTTGGCTGTCCACGCCTAACCTTAGATACGCAGCGCAGTAAAACATCAATTAATTCCTAGCAGGTCAGCATGTTTGTCCATTTCAGTGGCCAACAGTCAAATCCAATCCCATACCCTCAATATCGAATACCTCCAAATGAGTCCCCGGTTTAGCATGGGATCTATTGGGGCTCCCATACAGGTAGCATTTCATCATAGGCAGCAAGGATTATGTTAACCCCTGAAAAGATAGATAAAATCCAACAAGAACCGTGATACATCACTTTTCTATTTGTTTTTCAGGTCATTATATGGAATTTTCCTAAAAGTAATGGTAGCCCCAGGTTTCATCAATGTTATTCTACGTTTTTCCATGAAATAAACCATCCATTCATGGAGGGTACCCCCATTTATGGACCCCCCATATTACAATTCTCCACCCTTCACCGCCAGGGCGCAGAGAGCCACCAAGGCCCAGAGGAAGGACAGCGACATCAACGTGTAGCGCCCCAAACAAAAGGAACTCCGAAGCGATCTCGGACCTGGGGGCCGTGAAAAAAGATAAAAAGGCCCGTGTGAACGCCCCAAACAATGGGAACACTCCATGAGGGACATTTGATTCTAGGATAACATATGATTCAAAGGGGGACACGTGGAAATCAAGAACTCAAAAAGGGATCCAAAAGACGTGTTTGTGTTCCCCAAATGATTCGGTTTTTCCATGCCCATCTCCCAAAATGGGTTTGCCTAAGGATATGCAGGGCCAATGTAGGGTGCTACTAGATTCCATGAGGTAGAACATCATTTCCTATTGAAAGCCATAAATTGGAGGTTAGTTATACCAACCATTTTCACATTTTGTTGGTTGAATCCCTATGAAATTCCCATACACCATCAACCATCTTATATTTCCCATCACTTTATATAATTTCACCATGTTACCATGTTTTAATCACATAGTATTCATTAGTATTCCATCATCATGAATCTTGATAAATGATGGTTAACACCCATAGCTACTTCCACCCCCCGAAAAAAATAGAAGTTGCTTTCAATCCTACTAGTTTTAGTGTTTTTCCATTCATCTTCGATCTTTTCCCTCATCAATCTGGGTAACTTATAGTAATTCAAAAACCTAACAGAGGCGATTTTGGGATGATTCCCAGTGTTGTAATTTACCCATAGCCATCAATTAACATCAAAACCTTCAGGACGGGGTCCCTAGTCGATAGCGTTCAGTTGCCCTATAAGTGGCTTAATCATGGTTTATGGTAGATATAACATGATATATAATTATAGTATTCATGGGGTTTATAAACCAACGTTCACAGAACTGCGGGGCACCATGCTGTTATATGCTGTTCATTCCTCAAGATTTTCCCCATGATTTTCCCACCTGGTGCCGGCCCCAGTAGGTTGGCACCACTGCCCTCGCTGCGCTGCGGCGTCTGCGTCGTGGAGTCGTGCACCACCGGGGAGCGCCGGTGTCCGCTGGGGGAGGCGGCCGAAAACGACGCTGGGCCCGGCCTCAGGTGATGAAACCTGGAGGACTAGGGGATTTGCCGATTAGGGAAATTGGGGCTTGACCGGCTTGACCAAGATGTATTTGACCCATTTTGACCCATTTTGACCCGACTTCTCAAGATTTCTCAATCATATTCGTCCAAAATCAAGGACTTCATAAGCACAATTGTGGATTTAAGGATTCGACTACGGTCGGGGCCTGTGTTAGGACATTTTATTATTTTATTAAACAGTAAAGTAGGCTCTAACTTTTTGGGAAAGTACATTACTTGCTCTATTATGGAAAAAAACATATTTACATCATGTGTTGCTTGTGTATTTCCGCATTCCTTTTGAAAGCTGCTTCCAGGGAATAGGGATAAGTCAAGGGATAAGGGCAATGCTGGAAATGGGCAATCCCCCTGCTGCTCCTGGAGCTCAGAAGGGATAGGTTGAATTGTTAATAGTTAATGGAAGTTGGTGGGATTAAGAAACCTAGTTTAGAGTTTATTTGCCATCCACAAATCTTAGCCAAAGAGTCTAAGAAACATTTTGGACCCCAACAAAAATACATATTTCTTATCACAAGCCTCAGCCGTATTCAACTATGGGATTTGTGACCCTTCATTCCAAAGTTTTCATAGGATTCTCCATGCACATGCGCACATAAATTGGTCTGGGTCAAGTCACTCAAGTCATTGGGTGCCACCAAAAATAGATTTGATTGATTTTCCACCATAGCTGCTCACATCCTGCAGTTCGGTTGGTCGTTTTTTTTTTTAAATCTTCTCCATCTTTGTTCAGATGCTCCAATCTTTTGTTGGGTCATATGACATCCAGCAAAAATGGAGATTTAACAATCATTTTTTCCATCAACAAATATGGGGATTGAACCAATAAATATTGGGATTAACCCACTATCCAAGATCTGATAAAAGGAAACACCTCCATGAAACTTCTGAAATTGATGGTAAAAGAAAAGCTTCCTGTATCTGAAATTCATCTTGCGAGATCAGTGTTTTTCGGGATACCCTCCGATAATCCTATGTGGCAGTAGATTCCATAGATTCCATTCTTAATCGGAAAATCATCAGTGGACAACTCGGGATTGTCATCGCCATGTTTGATTGCCGGAGGGTACTAAGGCTCTGCACAGGAAAATATGCAGCGTATTCGGACGTAGGTCATACTGTAATACTGGAGTATCTTTTGATCTTGGAGCATTTGTTGTTACAAGTTGAAAACCTTGGAGTACAGATGTATATTCATGGAGGTCTCATAGATTCATAGTCATAAATAGTGCGGTAAGAACTTCGAGTGAATGAACAGTGAATTGTATATGTCTATTGTACAAAAAGAAGCGACAAGGTGAGCTTGATCGGTCTTGTTTCGTCAGTTGTACATGTAGAAAGGCACCTGGTACTTGGCAAGTGAGTATACATATACTTGCATAGGCATGTCTGACGTATATATCAATCTATCAGTCTATACATTCAATCTATCAATCAATCAACCAATCAATCTATCTATTGTAACTGTATTTGTAAACCTGCAATGCCTTGCCGCTTGAAATACTGGAAGGATCACTGTGGAACGCAGTGACCAACATCCTGGTGGAAATCTTTGATGCCTCTTTTTCGGCTTTGAGATGCACATCTTTGTGAATGAAGTCCTTATTTGTTATCTTTGGTGTATCTCTTTGGTTGTGGATAAACATGAACATGGGTTTGTCTGAAACTAGGCTACCACCTAAAAATCTTGGTCCATCCTCGTTCTCCCATGAACATTGCCATTCTCGTATCCTGGTTTCATCCATTTCTGGACAAACAACAATACTATTGTTAAATCTATGTATGTCTATATTTTGCCTTTATATACCCTCTGGTAATTTAACATAGCTATTGAACATTACCATTTTTAATGGGAAAAGCCACTATTAATGGTCATTTTCAATAGCTACGTTAAATTACCAGAGGGTATATATATATATAAATACTTGGAGAAACCCACGGCCACTGCCCTGGGGAGCCAGGAAGGACCCAAAGGGGCACCGGACGGCGCTGGGCTGGCGGGTGAACTCGAGCGCCGTGAGGCTTCACTCATCTGGCGAATCACCAGCAATCAGTTGTTTTTTTTTTCGGTCACATCAATATGGGATATCATAAAACATAGGGAAATATGGGAAATATGGGATAATATGGGATAATATGGGATAATATCAATTTTTTCAGGAATATCATAAGACAATCATAGGGAAATATGGGATAATATGTGACCATCCTCCATAAAATGAAGGTTTCCAGCTAAAATCATCTAACTAAATGGTGGATTTTCCTTGCGAACCATGTTTGATTACCGGAGGGTAATAATCATATGCGTGTGATTACCATCTGGTCAACTGTTACAGAGCTATAGTAGCCATTGTCCATTTGATGATTTACACTTTTAGATTGTGTGAATTTTCATGAATTTTCCACAGCTTAGCCGCTAAATTACAAGAGGGTACATGAAGAACCAGCAATCTGTGACACACTTTATAATCAAGTGGGGGTTTCCTAAGTCATGGGGGTACCCCTAGTTATCATCCATTTATAGATGGATTTTTCTATGAAATAAACCATCCAGCTATTGGGGTATCCCCATGACTATGGAACCCCCCTGTCATCTAAATCACATGGTTGGCTCAATGCCATTTCCGGGTCCGAAGCCAGGCTTCAGTTTCCAGCACCCCTGTCAGACAGCATCATTTCGGCTTACTGGTTGCTTAAGAATAGGCTTCCCATTTGATGGATGATGGTCAATACCAATATACCAAAAATATTCCACCATCATTTGGGTTTATTCAATAAAGCATATACTACAGATTGATATGTAAACGCGCAAAGAACATGACAATATCATATACTACTACTACTACTAATAATAATAACAATAACAATAATACTAATAACAATAAATAATAATAAAAAATACTAATTAATAATGATAATATCTATTATATGTATATATATATAATATGTATATATATATATTATGGGAGGGACCAGCGAACCGGGAACCGGGAACATACATATACATATATAATATACATACACACATTATGGGTACGAGTCAAAGCTCTAGCAATCTAGTTAACCCTAAAAGAGCCGGTAACTGGATGCTCATCCCCCAAATATGGTATTATAGGTGTTGTCCCAAAGCAAAACTGTGCACATATCATGAACATCATGAACATAAAATAACTATGATGTGTATGTATATATATATATATAATGCACACACATATATAGATAAAAAATATTTACAATATATTGCCATTTATTCACATATTATTACACTATCATATATGATCACATACTTTAAAGTATATAAGAAATATTAAGAAACTATAATAATATATAGGATAATTAGAAAGAAACATAAAATAAATATTTGATATATATATATATTTATAAACATTAAGATGCATAAACAGCCTCAAATCACCGCGCCTCGCGACACCTTGAGCCGGTGTTGGCCGCACAGCTGGGTGCCAGAGAAAGAGAGCTGGGCTCCACCTCTAAAGTGATCACCTGCACCGGAAACGAAACCCGTTCGAAACCGGGTGTTTGAAATGGGGCTTTAATGGTGTTTTAAAGCTGGGGACATATCTGGGGTTCTAATTAAAAAAACAAAAACAAGCAACCAGAAATGGTATTTTGTTGGTGACTAGCAGAGCAACAATGGTATTTTGATGTATTTTGATGGTGATTCACCAGCCAAAAGTGGTGTCTTGATGGTGATATAACTGGGGATACAACCAACACATGGTGATAAACTGGGGGCATAACAAGGGGAAAATATATAACGGATTTGTAAGTGAACTGCTGATACAGCAACCAACAAATTATTGGGATTCAAGCGGAGAAAAAGGGAATGCAAGAAACAAACACATGGGAATTTGAGAGTGAGTAACAAAAATGCGGATATATGTGATAACAAAAATGGGATTTAACCAGCCGAAACGTAGATTTAAAACCTCAGACATGAGTTATCACCACTTACCAACTGGTGCCATCCCAGTGACCCCTTTTCTGACCCCCTTACTGAGTAACGGATGCTTACATCCATGTAGGCTTGCTTTCTAGTGCCATCATGGCCAACACATCCATCACAGTGCACAAATGAAATGGGTTTCGATGGATTCGTCAGTTGGTCATACTAGATCACTGGAGGGTAAGTATGGTCAATCAAGCTCAGTGCATTGTCCTTAACGGTGCCCAAGGCTTTGAGATATGTTGATGTAGTTTGAGAATGTTTCTACACTGAGATTACGGCGATTCTGTGGGTAGCCTTTCACCGAGACGTGTGGCGTTTGAACCAACAAACAGCATGTTTGTACGGTCATGATTGCTGCCGATATGTCCACGATGATTGAAGAACTTTAGCTAGTTAAAACTTGCCTTTTTAGGTTGTACCATATGTTTGTTTTTTCATATCGTCCAACTTATCGACTTTATGTGGATTCTATGCCATTTTGCTTTCTCAAACCCAGCAAATTCAGTTGATTCTTGGCTGGATCATTGTGCTCAATTGGTTCATCTAAACCGAGTATCAACTGAGCCATTTGGATGCAGAGAGGAATGTGGTAGATCGTCTGGCGTCTCTCGGTCAAAATTTGGCACATGTTCTACTTTCTAACATTCTTTGGAGACTGCCAGGACAGATAAAAAAGCAAGACAAAACATACTCTTATTTTGGCTCAGATATAGCCTATTCATCCTATACATACAATACATACAACACATTTGAACTTAATCTTTACTGAGGTTTGCCTCCTTCTTGAGACATTAATTTTGTTGCACAAACCATCCAAGTTTCATGGCTAATCTTAGATAACCCACAAAAAACACTCACATATTTCAGAAGATGTGTATTTTTTGGATATGTTTTGCACACTTAGATGCTCCATAACAAAAATGTTCACCGTTGGCCACTCTTAGATAACCTGCAACGAAACACCGAAACGTTGGCTGGTTGGTATGCCCATGAATATGGCAAAAGATTGGTTGGTAATCCGCCGACCCCTGCCGCCAGCAGGGGGAGCGCGTCAGAGGAGGCCTTACTAGTAACAAGGGGCGAAAAGAGAAAATTCGCAGGCGCGGTCCTCAGGCCCTGCTGTTTGGCTGTGGCGGAGACGCCGTTTTAGGTCAGACAGCTAGCTAGTTTTCTTGTAAGTTCAGAAAGCAACGTTAGGCACTGGGGGCCGTGGCCCGTAGGCCCGGTCCGTCCCTCAGGGCCTTGCTGTTTGGCTGTCGCGGAGGCGCCGTTTTAGGTCAGACAGCTAGTTTTCTTGTAGGCTCAGAAAGCAATGTTAGGCACTGGGGGCCGTGGCCCGTAGGCCCGGTCCGTCCCTCAGGGCCTTGCTGTTTGGCTGTGGCGGAGGCGCCGTTTTAGGTCAGACAGCTACTTTTCTTGTAGGTTCAGAAAGCAACGTTAGGCAGTGGGGGCCGTGGCCCGCAGGCCCCGTCCGTCCCTCAGGGCCCTGCTGTTTCGGTGTGGCGAGCGCGCCCTGTGTGAGCCTTGGCGGCTGGAAGACAGGTCGTGGCGGCCGTGGCCCGCACGCCCGGTCCGTCCTTCAGGGCCCTGCTGTTTGGCTGTGGCAGAGGCGCCGTTTTAGGTCAGACAGCTACTTTTCTTGTAGGTTCAGAAAGCAACGTTAGGCAGTGGGGGCCGTGGCCCGCAGGCCCCGTCCGTCCCTCGGGGCCCTGCTGTTTCGGTGTGGCGAGCGCGCCCTGTGTGAGCCTTGGCGGCTGGAAGACAGGTCGTGGCGGCCGTGGCCCGCAGGCCCGGTCCGTCCCTCAGGACCGTGCTGTTTTGGCGTGGCAATCGTGCCGTGTGTGAGCTTTGGCGGCTGGAAGACAGGTCAGGTAGCTTGCTTTCTTGTAGGTTCAGAAAGCAACGTTAGGCAGTGGGGGCCGTGGCCCGCAGGCCCGGTCCGTCCCTCAGGGCCTTGCTGTTTCGGTGTGGCGAGCGCAGCCTTGGCGGCTGGAAGACAGCTAAGAGAGTTGCTTTTCTTGTAGGTTCAGAAGGCCGTGGCCCGCAGGCCCCGTCCGTCCCTCGGGGCCCTGCTGTTTCGGTGTGGCGAGCGCGCCCTGTGTGAGCCTTGGCGGCTGGAAGACAGGTCGTGGCGGCCGTGGCCCGCAGGCCCGGTCCGTCCCTCAGGACCGTGCTGTTTTGGCGTGGCAATCGCGCCGTGTGTGAGCTTTGGCGGCTGGAAGACAGGTCAGGCAGCTTGCTTTCTTGTAGGTTCAGAAAGCAACGTTAGGCACTGAGGGCGGTGGCCTGCAGGCCCGGTCCGTCCTTCAGGGCCCTGCTGTTTGGCTGTGGTCAGACAGCTACTTTTCTTGTAGGTTCAGAAAGCAACGTTAGGCAGTGGGGGCCGTGGCCCGCAGGCCCCGTTCGTCCCTCGGGGCCCTGCTGTTTCGGTGTGGCGAGCGCGCCCTGTGTGAGCCTTGGCGGCTGGAAGACAGGTCGTGGCGGCCGTGGCCCACAGGCCAGGTCCGTCCCTCAGGACCCAGCATGCTGTTTTGGCGTGGCAATCGCGCCGTGTGTGAGCTTTGGCGGCTGGAAGACAGGTCAGACAGCTAGCTTTCTTGTAGGTTCAGAAAGCAACGTTAGGCAGTGGGGGCCGTGGCCCGCAGACCCGGTCCGTCCCGCAGGGCCCTGCTGTTTCGGTGTGGCGAGCGCGCCGTGTTTGAGCCTTGGCGGCTGGAAGACAGCTAAGAGAGTTAGTTTTCTTGTAGGTGCAGAAAGCAACGTTCGGCACTGGGGGCCGTGGCCCGTAGGCCCGGTCCGTCCCTCAGGGCCTTGCTGTTTGGCTGCGGCTGGAAGACAGCTAAGAGAGTTACTTTTCTTGTAGGTTCAGAAGGCCGTGGCCCGCAGGCCCCGTCCGTCCCTCGGCGCCCTGCTGTTTCGGTGTGGCGAGCGCGCCCTGTGTGAGCCTCGGCGGCTGGAAGACAGGTCGTGGCGGCCGTGGCCCGCAGGCCCGGTCCGTCCCTCAGGACCGTGCTGTTTTGGCGTGGCAACCGCGCCGTGTGTGAGCTTTGGCGGCTGGAAGACAGGTCAGGCAGCTTGCTTTCTTGTAGGTTCAGAAAGCAACGTTAGGCACTGAGGGCGGTGGCGTCCTTCAGGGCCGTGCTGTTTGGCTGTGGTCAGACAGCTACTTTTCTTGTAGGTTCAGAAAGCAATGTTAGGCAGTGGGGGCCGTGGCCCGCAGGCCCCGTCCGTCCCTCGGGGCCCTGCTGTTTCGGTGTGGCGAGCGCGCCCTGTGTGAGCCTTGGCGGCTGGAAGACAGGTCGTGGCGGCCGTGGCCCGCAGGCCAGGTCCGTCCCTCAGGACCCAGCATGCTGTTTTGGCGTGGCAATCGCGCCGTGTGTGAGCTTTGGCGGCTGGAAGACAGGTCAGACAGCCAGCTTTCTTGTAGGTTCAGAAAGCAACGTTAGGCAGTGGGGGCCGTGGCCCGCAGGCCCGGTCCGTCCCTCAGGGCCCTGCTGTTTCGGTGTGGCGAGCGCGCCGTGTTTGAGCCTTGGCGGCTGGAAGACAGCTAAGAGAGTTAGTTTTCTTGTAGGTGCAGAAAGCAACGTTCGGCACTGGGGGCCGTGGCCCGTAGGCCCGGTCCGTCCCTCAGGGCCTTGCTGTTTGGCTGTGGCGGAGGCGCCGTTTTAGGTCAGAGAGCTAGTTTTCTTGTAGGTTCAGAAAGCAACGTTAGGCAGTGGGGGCCGTGGCCCGCAGGCCCCTTCCGTCCCTCAGGGCCCTGCTGTTTCGGTGTGGCGAGCGCGCCCTGTGTGAGCCTTGCCGGCAGGAAGACAGGTCGTGGCGGCCGTGGCCCGCAGGCCCGGTCCGTCCCTCATTCAGGACCCTGTTGTTTTGGCGTGGCAATCGCGCCGTGTGTGAGCTTTGGCGGCTGGAAGACAGGTCAGACAGCCAGCTTTCTTGTAGGTTCAGAAAGCAACGTTAGGCAGTGGGGGCCGTGGCCCGCAGGCCCGGTCCGTCCCTCGAGGGCCCTGCTGTTTCGGTGTGGCGAGCGCGCCGTGTTTGAGCCTTGGCGGCTGGAAGACAGCTAAGAGAGTTAGTTTTCTTGTAGGTGCAGAAAGCGACGTTAGGCACTGAGGGCGGTGGCCTGCAGGCCCGGTCTGTCCTTCAGGGCCCTCCTGTTTCGGCGTGGCGAGCGCGCAGGGTTCTGTTGTTTGGTGAAGGCTCCGTTTGTGATCAGTTCTGCACGGGCCATCGGTCGGTGCGACACTGCTTTCCGTTGGGCGTGCGATGCGTTATTTGAATTTGACCGGAAGCTTTTGTTGAATGCACCACTGTGCCGCATGTTGGACATGTGTGCGCAAGTGTACGGCCTGCAAGCAGGCGATTCGCAACGCGAAATTTTTTGCCGCAGCCATCACCGCGGCGGTGATAGACTTGCCCTGTTGCCACAGTGCTTTGCACAGATTTGGCGCAATGCGGGCAGAGGTATGTGTACACCCGCGGCGTCGCTGTGTCGGGCTCCGCAGCAAGCTGCTGGGTCGATGAATGGGCAACACTCGTTCTGGTTTCGTCTGTTCCCATCGACGTTTGTCTAGCCTCGTGGATTTTCTGCATCTCCTTGCAAACGTCTGCTAGGATTGCTTCGCGTCGTTGACGGGATTCGCGTTGGCGCAAGCGGGCCAAGCGTTGATTCGTGCGATGAGCAAGACGGCACACGAAGGCAAAGGCTGTGCATGCATTGCATACTTGTGTACCATCCTGCGTATGTTTCCGACTTTGCTGCCAAGCTGTGAACTCTGCTCGTGGCTTGCGTTCGCTGCACTGGGAACATTGCCAACACCCCCGCTGTTTGGTGGTACATTCTCTGCAGCAGCGGCGGTCAGCGTTGCGCGCTTTCCATGCGGCCGGTCCAAATTCGGCTTCCGGTTTCGCAACGCCACATTTGAAACACGGTTTCTTCATTTCACACGTCAAGCACACACGGAAAAAACTACATTGCCGTTGGCGATGCTTTTCTGGAAAATTAGCCTCGACATGCCACAGCTTGCGCACGTTGCATTGCCACGGGGTTCCAGCATCTGCATAATGTTTTGTGCACTCGCGACACACCCGGTCCGTGTCGCTGCGCTTCCATTGGCCTGGTGTGAACGCTGTGCTTTGTTTTCGTTCTGCGCAAGTTGAACACACGCGTTCTTCGCAGTATTTTGCGAGCAACGCCTGCCAGTTGCACGGCGCCCCAGCGATCGCAGTCGATGATCCGCCCACGCCAGCACCACATGCAATACACGATCGCGGCATGGCTCTCTGTCTATCTACCTTGCAAGTCGAACAACATGTACCTTTTTGTCAGCGACAGGGCCATGCCAACCTAGTCTCCCTCTATCTCTCTACAGGCTTGGAGATAGAAGAAGTCATTCACATATGTTGATGCACTGTTTCAGCTGTTAACATGCGCAAAAAATATGAGATGATAAACTGTGATGTTGACTGTCATGTCGAATAATGCATTGAATCAGTTTAATCTTTTCATTGATGCTTTGCACTCCCATAAGCCAAAGTCCACAACATCGCGCAGTTGAAGCAGCTTTGTCTTTGTCCAAAATTGCCTTCACACTTCAGATCGCATCACTGCAGAGGCTTTATCGGAGTTTCTGCCCAGTATGGTTTTGCACATATTTTGCGTCTACTAGTATATACCATGGTAATATGACCCTCCAGTGTCCAGGGGTCGGCGGCAGAGGGCGTAGCCCTTTAATAAACTATTCATGCAGTCGGTTTACCGAACTGCTTGCACATTGTTTTCGTTCATTCCTCATTTTTCCCAAATCAACTCCTTATTTTGCAGGATCAACTATGCAAAATTCATCGAATTCCTCCATCCATTTTCGCGGAATACACGCAATTCTTCCATCTTTCTCATGGTTGGCAGTATCCTTTTGCCGGAAGTACTTACAAGTCAACCTTTTTCCGATGGAGTTCTACACCAAGCGTTTGTTTCTCTCATTCCTTGGGTATAAAGAGACGATTGCTGGTTTTTCCTTGCGTTCAGTTCTTCGTCACCAAGATGCACACTATAACTCGTTGTTAAAGATGGTGCAGGGTGATGCTCAGTGCCACAGCCATACAACGTTGCTCATGTTGGTACGAGAGTTTTAACTGACTTGGATCGGATTCCTCACGAGAAACGAATTCTGCAGGGAAAGAAGATTGACCACAGCTTGAGAACTACGGAAGTGTCTAACTGTCTAACTGCCTCTGGTGAAGTTCTGACATGCTACCTTGAGCGTGTCGGCCTGGGGTGAGTCAAAAGTTGGATGCATTACCCATATCATATTCATCTGAAACTACCAACCATCATTCACCAACAATCACCTCATTCACCAACAATCACCCTTATTCCGGACAATTAGAATATTAGAACTGATTTTTTATACTGTACCAGTTTGGGATGCTTGCCCCCATCCCCATCCTCACCATCATTCCAGTGATGACGCAGTGAGGTCGTTATAGTTTACCCAGATTGCCCCCTGAGGCCTTTCTAATATCAACCCATACGATGAACAAACATGTATCGTAATATGCAACCTAACCAGTATAACTGACCAATCACTAATTATAACTAACCATTACCAACCATATATTGACATGGGTAAATAATTGAGATAGTAATGGTTTACTATATTGTTTATTAACTAATACAACTACTGGTATTACTAAAAAAATTGCTTGCTACGAAGTATTAATCACTATTAAAGCTTTCCAATCTTACATAATGTTACTAAAAATACTAAAAAATACCAGTATTAATCAATATTGCAGTAATGTGCACGCCCAATAATAAACATTAATAAACCATCCCCAAGTCAACGCCACGTTTATGTCTGGTAACTATCATCCCCTTAAATAGTCGGTTTATTATTGGGTTAAACGCATTCATCCTTCTTATGCATCTCCATCAATCACCATCAAACTCCATCAATCACCATCAATCACCATCAATCACCATTAATCACCATCAACCCCCACTTAACCCCTTATTAATTACGCATTCTTTTACCATTTGCTAACCATAGAGTCCCAACTCTTCTGTCGTCACCTTGGTATCGCCCTGCAGATCCACCGAGGAGCGCAAGCAGACCTCAAAAATCATGGGACAATCAGGGGATTTCAGCAACAAAAACCAGGGAATTTTAATGATTGATATAATGATACAATGTGGTGCCCCCAAGTTATAAGTTGGTTTATAAACCCCATGAATACTATAGTTATTTGCGTATAATAAACCATAGTTATTGGACTTATAAACCAACTTAGCTATCTAGGGGGCCCCACAGTGTAGGGATTGATAGGCTATTTAACCAACATTTTGTAATCATGATAGGGTATAATGGAATTATAATGAATTATATAAATATATATATATATATACATACATATAGAGAACACTGAAACTTAGAATGCTGACCAGTTTTCCAAATTTTGATTTTTGAATTTAGAATGCCGCCCAAAACGATGTTTTTTAGGGTATTTTAGAATGCCGGCCAGGGGACATTCTACTGCAAGTTTCAGTGTGTCGATACACCAAACCACAGTTTGCCATACAAAATGCATATTTTAGGTAAAAAATGGCATGCTAAGTTCTCTCCGTGCAGCGTGTTTTCCTCCATAAGAAGGGTACCCCAAAAACAGCAAACAGAAAAATAACACTGTTCGAAAATTGCAATTCACTGCATATATATTTACAGGGTTTTATGAACACTCAGTCTCCAAGACACCTCAAGACAGGTTTCCTTTTTCTTTCAAAATTGTCTCTTATTTCTTTCCTCATTGAAGATGGAAAACTCGAAAAAACAGGGGCCAAAAGTCCCTGCGAAAAAGTAACTTAGAATGCTGGCAAAATTGTCTTTGGTTTTCCATTGTTTTTCATTGTTCCTTCTTTGGTCTTTCTGTGGTTCTCATTGGTTTTTCCTGGGTTTCTGTTCTTTGATTTTATTTGATTCTCAATAATTGTGTTGTTCTTTGCCTATCATTGTTTTTCATTGGTATTCTTGGGTTTTCCTGTTGTTTTTCTTTGGTTTTCATGTTTTTTTCGTTGGTTTTCTTTTGTTTTTCAACGATTCCTTTGGTTTTCGTTTGGTTGTTCTTTTGATATTCTTTATTGTTCAATCGTTTTTCTTTGGTTATCAATGGATTTTCATTATTGATCTTTGGGTTTTCGTTATTCTTTAACTGACATGTGTTTTTCTTTGCTTTTCATGTGTCTTTGAAGCGGTTTCTTATGTTTTCTCTGGCTGTCACCAGTTTTGTCTTTTGTTTTTCATTGTTTTTTTGTTGGTCCTTCCTTGGTTTTTCTTTGGTTTTCATGAGTTTTCCTTTGATTTTCATATGTTTATCTTTGCTTTTCATTTGTCATTGAATCCATTTCTTTGGTTTTCTTTGGTATAAAACAGCGATGCATCAAACCACAGTATTGTCCTGAAAATGCATACGTAGTTTATGTAGAAAAAAGGACATGCTATGTTCTCTCAGTCCCGCGTGTTTTCCTCCATTATAGTGTCCAAAACACAGCAAACAGAAAAATAACTCCGCTTGAAGCACATATGCAAGAAAGAATGCAATTTACTGCATATTTACGAAACCATGATAGAAGGACACTTATATGATAAACAATTCAGTGGCCACGCATTCTAAGATCTCCATTACTAAGATGCCCCCGACTGACAAAACGGGGCAAAAAAAGTCCCTCCTGCCACTTTTTGGCAATTAGCAGGGTCTTTTTTGCAGCACGCCGTTTCCAAAATCGCATTCTAAGTTTCAGTGCGTCGCTATATATAGTGATTGAGAGGGTATTTGAGCAACAAATGATGGGGATTACAATGGGAGAATATGGGGATATCAGGGGGATATAATGGGAATAAAGCAAACACCATGGGATATCATTTCGGAAGCTCATGTATAGATGGATACTGTACTTGGCAATATCAAAGCATATGATTGTTTATTTGTATTTCATGGTGGCTATGGGTTTATTTTTGGGGATGTATATAATTATCCCTAGGATTAACAAGGTATTTACATAACCAGCAAATATCGGGATTTATAACCAACCATTCGATGGGAATAGGAAAATCAAACATGGCAGGCATTGGGAAATGCCGCAATCAGGAATTTTCAGCAAGCCGCATTTGACTACCGGAGGGCAAATCAATACCAAGGACATGCATCAAATTCACGTTCGTGTCATGGGGATCCAAATGTGGTAAACGCACTGGGACTATTTCACTCGCATGTAATGGGGATAGAAGGAAACAACTACCGCTAATTACTACTACTACTACTACTACTACTACTACTACTACTACTACTAGTACCACTACTACTCCCACTACCACCACTACTACTGCTACGACTACTGCTACGACTACAGCAACGTCCACAACGACGACGATGCAACTCTAGATTTCGCAATATACAAATGGGCTTGTCTGAAAATATGGTATCCTTAATTCCTATGATCCATTTAGTTCTATGAGTTTCCCATTAAAAACATCATTAAAAAACATACATTTTATCATCATTTTCCCGATTAAAGACGCGCCATTGTTGGTACCCTCCATTTTCAGTCCACACAAAAACGCCTCTGCCGGATGATCTCCATGGTAGTCCTGTGGTATGCTGCCACGCATAGAAACATATTTAAGGGGCATTATGTATATGACATTTAGAACAATATGTGTATATATATATATATAGATATTATGCACATGCATATAATATGTAATGCTATGTAATGTTACATAAATAACATAGATTAATATAGTAATATGATGTAACATTCATACATACAGTAATGACACCATATGTACATCTGCACAAAAGTAACCTCTGTGTATATATATATATATACATACACATTGATATGTAGGAGATTGTAGCAGTAGCTATATTATTGTGTATTTCCAGTCTTTTGCAAAATTACATCTGGCAGACTGGACCAAATAGTCTGACTAAATGTTTGGCTCTGGTCAAAATTTCAAGCTGGCACACATGTTTGTCTTTTTGGTAATTTTCAACCGTCCAAAAATGTTTTCAAGTCAACGGGGTCATCATGGGAGGATAAAGTAAACATATTTCCCTAATATTTGAAACCACCAGGCAGTAGTTTTTTTTCCCATAAAACGGTTCAGTTGGCTGTTGGCCCCTGACACTGCTACAACAGCGACATGCCCCCCCAGATTTTCGGCATGCCACGGGCTGTGCTGGTTCAATCACCGTTTGTTGCCGGTCTATTCATCATCCTTACTGGTTAAAAAATCACGGATGTTGCTTCAACTCCCCAACTTTGGATGCCTTTGGTTCTCGAACCGATTTGTTTCTATTCTTTCGCTTCAGTTTGTTAGCCTCAAATTTGTTGCTCAATACTCCTGTTGATGCACATTTCCTTTTGCTTGATGCGCAGTAACCCCTTGTTCTTTCTACTTAAATCAAGTAAAATCACTTCAAATCACTTCAACATCATTTGACGTCACTTAAAAAAGACTTGACATCACTTACAAATAGCTTAACAATCAATGAATAATCATTCAACAATCACTTGACTTCAATTGAAATCACTTAAGAATAACTTGAAATCACTTTAAAAAACTCTTCAAATCACTTAAACATCACTTGAAATCACTTAAAAATAACTTGAAATCACTTAAACATCACTTGAAATCACTTCAGCATCACTTGAAATCACTTAAACACAACTTGAAATCACTTCAAAATCACTTAAACATTACTCGAACTCACATAAAACTCACTTAAAAAATCACTTGAACCCACTCAAAAATGACTTCAAATCACTTCAAAATCACTTGAAATCACTTAAACACAACTTGAAATCACTTCAAAATCACTTCAAATCACTTAAGAATCACTTGAAATCACTTCAGCATCACTTGAAATAACTTAAACACAACCTGAAGTCACTTCAAAATCACTTCAAAATCACTTCAAATCACTTTAAATTAACTTCAAATCACTTAAACATCACTTGAAATCACTTAAAAATCGCTTAAACACCACTTATCAATCACTTCAAATCACTTAAACATTATTTGAAACCACTTAAAATCAATTGAAACCACTGAAAAATCGCTTGCACTCACTTCAAATCACTTAACGTCACTTAAAAATCACTTAAAACGAGCTTAACAATAACTTGAAATCACTTCAAAATAACTTGAAATTACTTACACACAGCTTGAAATCACTCCAAAATCACTTAAACATCACTTGAAATCACTAATCACTTGAAGTCACTTCAAATCACTTAAAATCACTTCAAATCAGTTGAAATCAATTAAAACTCATTAAAATCACTTGAGTTTACTCAAAAATCACTTGAAATCACTTGAAATAACTTCAAACCACTTCAAAACCACTTGAAATCACATAAAAAACGCTTCAAATCACTTATATAAACATCACTTGAAATCACTTAAGCATCACTTGAAATCAGTTAAACATCACTTGAAACCACTTAAGAATCACTTGAAATCACTTAAGCACAACTTGAAATCACTTCAAAATCACTTAAACATAACTTGAACTCACTTAAAATCACTTGAAATCACTTCAGCATCACTTGACATCACTTAAACACAACTTGAAATCACTTCAAAATCACTTAAACATCACTTGAACTCACATAAAACTCACTTGAAAGTCACTTGAAATCACTTCAGCATCACTTGAAATCACTTAAGAATCACTTGAAACCACTTCAGCATCACTTGAAATAACTTAAACACAACTTGAAGTCACTTCAAAATCATTCGAAATCACTTAAAATCACTTAAAATCACTTAAGAATCACTTAAAATCACGTAAGCATCACTTGAAATCACTTAAACACAACTTGACATCACTTCAAAATCACTTGAATCACTTAAAATCACTTGAAAACACTTAAAATCACTTCAGCATCACTTCAGCATCACTTGAAATCACTTAAACACAACTTGAAATCACTTCAAAATCACTTGAATCACTTGAATCACTGAAAATCACTTGAAATCACCTAAAAATAAAAATCACTTGAAATCACTTAAAAATCGATTGAAATCACTTAAACATCATTTGAAATCACTTAACCATCATTTAAAAATCATTTGAAATCAGTTGAAATCACTAACAATCACTTGAAATCACTTAAAAAATCACTTGAACCCACTCAAAAATGACTTCAAATCACTTCAAAATCACTTGAAATCACTTAAACACAACTTGAAATCACTTCAAAATCACTTCAAATCACTTAAGAATCACTTGAAATCACTTCAGCATCACTTGAAATAACTTAAACACAACTTGAAGTCACTTCAAAATCACTCGAACTCACTTAAGAATCACTTGAAATCACTTAAGAATCACTTGAAATCACGTAAGCATCACTTGAAATAACTTATATAAACACAACTTGAAGTCACTTCAAAATCACTTGAAATCACCTAAAATCACTTGAAATAACTTAAACACAACTTGAAGTCACTTCAAAATCACTCGAACTCACTTAAGAATCACTTGAAATCAGTTAAGAATCACTTGAAATCACGTTAGCATCACTTGAAATCACTTAAACACAACTTGAAGTCACTTCAAAATCACTCGAAATCACTTGAAATCACTTAAGAATCACTTGAAATCACGTAAGCATCACTTGAAATAACTTAAACACAACTTGAAGTCACTTCGAAATCACTCGAAATCACTTAAGAATCACTTGAAATCACGTAAGCATCACTTGAAATAACTTAAACACAACTTGAAGTCACGTCAAAATCACTCGAAATCATTTAAGAATCACTTGAAATCACTTAAGAATCACTTGAAATCACGTAAGCATCACTTGAAATAACTTATATAAACACAACTTGAAGTCACTTCAAAATCACTTGAAATCACCTAAAATCACTTGAAATAACTTAAACACAACTTGAAGTCACTTCAAAATCACTCGAACTCACTTAAGAATCACTTGAAATCAATTAAGAATCACTTGAAATCACTTCAGCATCACTTGAAATCACTTAAACACAACTTGAAATCACTTCAAAATCACTTAAACATTACTCGAACTCACATAAAACTCACTTAAAAAATCACTTGAACCCACTCAAAAATGACTTCAAATCACTTCAAAATCACTTGAAATCACTTAAACACAACTTGAAATCACTTCAAAATCACTTCAAATCACTTAAGAATCACTTGAAATCACTTCAGCATCACTTGAAATAACTTAAACACAACTTGAAGTCACTTCAAAATCACTTCAAAATCACTTCAAATCACTTTAAATTAACTTCAAATCACTTAAACATCACTTGAAATCACTTAAAAATCGCTTAAACACCACTTATCAATCACTTCAAATCACTTAAACATTATTTGAAACCACTTAAAATCAATTGAAACCACTGAAAAATCGCTTGCACTCACTTCAAATCACTTAACATCACTTAAAAATCACTTAAAACGAGCTTAACAATAACTTGAAATCACTTCAAAATAACTTGAAATTACTTACACACAGCTTGAAATCACTCCAAAATCACTTAAACATCACTTGAAATCACTAATCACTTGAAGTCACTTCAAATCACTTAAAATCACTTCAAATCAGTTGAAATCAATTAAAACTCATTAAAATCACTTGAGTTTACTCAAAAATCACTTGAAATCACTTGAAATAACTTCAAACCACTTCAAAACCACTTGAAATCACATAAAAAACGCTTCAAATCACTTATATAAACATCACTTGAAATCACTTAAGCATCACTTGAAATCAGTTAAACATCACTTGAAACCACTTAAGAATCACTTGAAATCACTTAAGCACAACTTGAAATCACTTCAAAATCACTTAAACATAACTTGAACTCACTTAAAATCACTTGAAATCACTTCAGCATCACTTGACATCACTTAAACACAACTTGAAATCACTTCAAAATCACTTAAACATCACTTGAACTCACATAAAACTCACTTGAAAGTCACTTGAAATCACTTCAGCATCACTTGAAATCACTTAAGAATCACTTGAAACCACTTCAGCATCACTTGAAATAACTTAAACACAACTTGAAGTCACTTCAAAATCATTCGAAATCACTTAAAATCACTTAAAATCACTTAAGAATCACTTAAAATCACGTAAGCATCACTTGAAATCACTTAAACACAACTTGACATCACTTCAAAATCACTTGAATCACTTAAAATCACTTGAAAACACTTAAAATCACTTCAGCATCACTTCAGCATCACTTGAAATCACTTAAACACAACTTGAAATCACTTCAAAATCACTTGAATCACTTGAATCACTGAAAATCACTTGAAATCACCTAAAAATAAAAATCACTTGAAATCACTTAAAAATCGATTGAAATCACTTAAACATCATTTGAAATCACTTAACCATCATTTAAAAATCATTTGAAATCAGTTGAAATCACTAACAATCACTTGAAATCACTTAAAAAATCACTTGAACCCACTCAAAAATGACTTCAAATCACTTCAAAATCACTTGAAATCACTTAAACACAACTTGAAATCACTTCAAAATCACTTCAAATCACTTAAGAATCACTTGAAATCACTTCAGCATCACTTGAAATAACTTAAACACAACTTGAAGTCACTTCAAAATCACTCGAACTCACTTAAGAATCACTTGAAATCACTTAAGAATCACTTGAAATCACGTAAGCATCACTTGAAATAACTTATATAAACACAACTTGAAGTCACTTCAAAATCACTTGAAATCACCTAAAATCACTTGAAATAACTTAAACACAACTTGAAGTCACTTCAAAATCACTCGAACTCACTTAAGAATCACTTGAAATCAGTTAAGAATCACTTGAAATCACGTTAGCATCACTTGAAATCACTTAAACACAACTTGAAGTCACTTCAAAATCACTCGAAATCACTTGAAATCACTTAAGAATCACTTGAAATCACGTAAGCATCACTTGAAATAACTTAAACACAACTTGAAGTCACTTCGAAATCACTCGAAATCACTTGAAATCACTTAAGAATCACTTGAAATCACGTAAGCATCACTTGAAATAACTTAAACACAACTTGAAGTCACGTCAAAATCACTCGAAATCATTTAAGAATCACTTGAAATCACTTAAGAATCACTTGAAATCACGTAAGCATCACTTGAAATAACTTATATAAACACAACTTGAAGTCACTTCAAAATCACTTGAAATCACCTAAAATCACTTGAAATAACTTAAACACAACTTGAAGTCACTTCAAAATCACTCGAACTCACTTAAGAATCACTTGAAATCAATTAAGAATCACTTGAAATCACGTAAGCATCACTTGAAATCACTTAAGCACAACTTGAAGTCACTTCAAAATCACTCGAAATCACTTGAAATCACTTAAGAATCACTTGAAATCACGTAAGCATCACTTGAAATAACTTAAACACAACTTGAAGTCACTTCAAAATCACTCGAAATCACTTAAGAATCACTTGAAATCACGTAAGCATCACTTGAAATAACTTAAACACAACTTGAAGTCACTTCAAAATCACTCGAAATCACTTGAAATCACTTAAGAATCACTTGAAATCACGTAAGCATCACTTGAAATAAGTTAAACACAACTTGAAGTCACGTCAAAATCACTCGAAATCATTTAAGAATCACTTGAAATCACTTCAAAATCACTTGAAATCACTTAAATCAAATTTTTAAATCCCAATTTCTTCCAATGAAACTCCCCTTTCGCTCCTTTGCCCAGGAGGCCAGATCCGCAAACTGCACCACGACGCGGCGAAGATTCGCCAGGCCAGATCCGCCCTGGGCTGTGGCGGTGTCCTGAGACATTTTGGAATATGAATGGAATAATGGATAATCATCATATTCCATCATGCATTAACCATCATTAACCATGTATTAACCATGTATTAACCATCATTAACCATCATTAACCATGTATTAACCATCATTAACCATGTATTAACCATCATTAACCATCATTAACCATGTATTAACCATCATTAACCATCATTAACCATTAACTAATGGATAGTAACAACTGTATTAAAAAGATAGGTTCGAATGGGATTACAATGGGATTCGAATGAAGTATTTTTTCATGGGATGATGGGATGTTCAGTTTTCAATGGCGATCTAATTTTGGTTTTTGAGTTCTTCTAATTTGGATCCAGGTAACCCCTGGGATTCCATTCCTGGGAAAACTCATAAACAAATGGCAATATACACCAGGTGAGCCACAAAAATGGGAACAATCACTGACAAATCTATACAAAAGAGCAACACATAGAATAACTGGGTGAATATTTCAAGTGATAATACTGGGATGGTTCCTCAAGCAAGGACTGCGGCTTTGGAAACGTGTCAGTTTACCATTTCCAACCCCTCGTATTAAACTAACGTCGCGGGCTATACTTGGATTGTCATCCCATTTTGTGGTTTATAAACCATCAATCGAACATCAGCTAATTATACCATCTAACGATACCTAAAGTAGTACAGTAATTGGTTTATCACATTTTATCACATTTTATCACATGTTATAACTATAAGTGGAACACATTTTTATTTTCATAATGTGAATATGTATATATATATACACACATCATGGTTTCATTATTATATATCCGTTATTATATCATCATTATCATTATTACTATTACTATTATTATTAGTAAAATTAATTACAATACATATATATATAATGATATTTATTTATTTATATATATATATATACATATGTATTAAAACCCATGATTTTTAACACATCGGCCATTTCCCTCATCCCCAGTGCGTTCCCGTCGTCCCAATGCCAACCTCCTCGTGGCGCCGACACTCCTCTCGAACCTGGACGGCCGCCGGGGGGTTGACCGGGTTCACCAATGAATATTGACTGAGTGGGATGTAATACAGCTTGGGTATTGTATAAGAATTCACTGTGAAAGAATTTGAAAGGCTTGAATCCAAGGCGGGCTACATATTTTCAGCTATACCAAGCACATAGTACTTTAAGCATTTGAGGGACCCTGGAATAGGATTGCCAACATTTGCCAAATTCTTAAATTACTGCTTATACATGAGGTTTCACATTCCCCTTTGCGGTTCATTTTTTTTGTGGAGTGACCCCTTATGGTCTTATGGGATGAAATCGGGCTTTGCAGAAAAACAATTTTGTAAGCTCCGAAAAAATGTTTTTTTCGCACATGCTTGACTGCTTCCAATCCACGCAAAATCTATATGTGGATAGACTTGGGAACCTGAAACATTGTTTTTCCCAAAAACTTGAAGAAAACTGAGGCTTTGCAGAAAAACAATTTTTCAAGCTCCGAAAACTTGTTCTGTTCGCACATGCTTGGACTGCTTCCAATCCACGCAAAATCTAAATGTGGATAGACAAGCCCAGCTTTGCAAAAAAAACAGGCTCTTAAAACATGTTTTTTCTGCACTGCTCTTATGAAACTCAGACAAGCCCGGTTTTGCAAAAAGAACAATTTGACGTATGTCTCTTGTCAAATCTGCCAGCTCCACCTCGTTATTGCTTTAGCTCGCTTCAAATTGCCCAGATGCATACAATACACAGCTAAGAATGCTCTAAGAATTTGAGGGACCCTCGACCTATTGTGGTGGAAATTTGCCTGCATTAAAAAATAAGATTTTGAGGGACCCTGGGCCTTAAGCTTTCGGATTCTTTACCAACTCCCGGGCTGTAATACATATGTAGCTATATTAGAAAATAATAAATTAAAATATCAATAGAATAATATCGAAAAGAAGATCGAAGAGAACTATTGTTCACCAGGCATGTAATAACTATAGAAACACAATGGGATATAATAGATAGATAGATAGAACAATGGTATATCATGGATATAATAATAGAAATAATAGAAATGGGATAATACTATGACTATAGAAAAAATAGATATAACAATTGTAGATATAATAATAGACATGTAGCATTTTAATGGCAATTATACATAATTATGCACCCCAAAACGACCACTTTTTAAAGATGTTTGAGAACATGAAGATGATTTACGATGATTTGTTGGCTTTGGGGTGGGCAACACCAAACGGATGCACACATTCATAATCATAAAAGATCATAAAACCCTGTATTACCATGAAGGACAATGTGCGTCGTGAATACTGGGAGAAAGACGCGGAGTAACCGGCACCACTGCTGAAATTGGACCCGCATTACCGCGAATCAGATGGAGAAAAAACGATCCGGCCACTAAAGAAGCAAAATAATTTTCTTGTCCATTGTACTCATTGTCCAACGGTTTTTTCCAATCTGCCGCATTGAGAGTCCCGCGCGGATTTGCTAAACTCAATCGTAACTAAAGAAATGATTCAACCACCTTGTGGTGTTCCTCAACTCCAAGACCTCCCCGGCCATGCCCCCGCTTTTTTGGGTGAGATATGGCATCCTCCAGTGTCCTCCATATAGAAAATGAACCAAACCAATGAACCACACCATTCATTAGCCATTCACCAAGCCAGGGACCAACCCATTCGGCAACCATTCGGATGAGCCCACCTTGACCATGATGCGTAGAGCATTCACCAAGCCGACCGACGGATTTTTCTGCAGAGATCAGTGGATCCAGCTGGGATATGGCCATATAGGTACCCTAAAATGGCTGGTTGATGGATGCTTGTTCCCACAGTCAGATGATAGGCAATAGGTTTTGACATGTTTTGATCCATCCCCATATAGCAAAGCCGAAAAATAGATAGATCTTCAGTGGTGAATCAGCTGCAAGAAAACCTACGTAGCCGAGGATGTTCCATATCTATATATATATGTATATGTATATATAAATATAAATAAATATATATATACGTATATACATATATGATCATATATGTATATGTATATAATATATATATAACTGGCTTCTAAGTTGTTCCAAGAGGCTTATTATCCCCCCAAAGGTGACTCCTCCAACGATGAGGGTCTATGAAGTTATGAAGGGCCTGTTCACCACCAACAACCAGAGCAATAAGGGCTTATCAGCATTGATTTTGGAGGGGTGGAATCCCGGAATGGACCTGTAAAAATTGTGAGCCCTTTCAATCATTCATTACATCCTGAAAACAACATCATATTTCTATCTTTTTGCGACTCCTACAGTGGATTCCAGGAGTCATGGACTGGCTCGTGACCACAGCTAGTTTCCCCACTTGCACCGGGATGGCCTTGGGAATTCGCGCGAGGATTTTGATCACTTGACTATAGTGGAATGCTTATCCATCAGTCATCAATCTACCCACATAGAAAACTGGAGAAACAGGGTTTCTATATTAACTGTCAATAGAATCCCTCCTAAACGTCTTAAATGACTGCACAAATGCGTTGACACTGGAACCGTAAATTTGTCAGGAAAACACAATTCCTTGTAAAATCAATGACTGAAAATTGACGACTGCGACTAGTAGTGTGGACCCTTGAAAATGCTATCAAAGTGAAGAACAGTGACGCATCAGAAGTAACATACATATATCATGGATATATTATGATATATTCAACGCAGAGGGAACAATTATTACCGTGTAAAGGTCTATTTCCAGATATTCTTTTCAGCGAAGATTGTATGTCAAGCCTAAGATGGGATCTATGAGCAGAACCACAGCTTCCCAGAGATCCGCATGACCAGCACTAAACAGACTGCTTGGATCCCTTGGAAACAAGCTGGAATCAAGAGTTCAAAGAGCTTACCTCCAGATTCTTCAGGGGATTAAATCTGGGTGCCTTGCTAAATGCTTTCTGGCTCGGATTCGGAGACACGGATTCGGAAGACAAAATTCACCAAGACTCAACATGCCCGCGGGTCAACAAAAAGTCATAAGTCGGTCAACCAGAAAGTGCAACTGAGATGTGACCGATCGCTGAGTTCAAGCAGAGGCATAGGAACAAATAACCAAATTCTCCCATGCAGTGGAAGGTCCCTGAGTACTGTTGGAACCATATTGGCTAATGTCAAAAACCCCGAACATCTTGGTGCTGCGTTCAAAAAGACTTGAAATACTTGAAACCATCTTCCTTATTTTGGGCAGCCACGTCCCCGCTTGTAGGTTGTTGAAATATGTTGAAATGCGGCCCCGCAGGCGGTTCAGGTCAGGCACCCAAACATCTTACGGTGGATATACGCCCTGCGTTTCTTTTTGAGCATTTCATGTAACTTTGAAGAGACTTAAGGGCTTCCATGGGCTTTTCCAAGGGATTTTCCAAGGGACGTTCCATGATTTTTCTCCCATCTCCAGGAGCGCCTTGGCATTTTGCAACATCCCCGAGGCATTTGGGATCACCACACCATAGTCCTTGGGGCGAGGTGACAGAACATAGGGGAACGAAGAATAAATCATGAAGATAATGGACTAATAAATATGACTAATGATATCTAATGATAATAAATAATGGAGAATAATAGAGATATGATATGACACCAAATAAATGGGCTAATCTTAGATACCCTTCAAGGTGACGTAGCCAGGAGTTAATGATGGGATATGGAACATCATGGAACCGCACTACTCCAATGGTCGATGGGGTATCCCCCCTCTTGATACCAAACCATCCAGCCAAAGATTGCATGTTCTGCGGAAAAATTACCCTGCGGTAATTTAACATAGGATCTACATTTCAATAGGTAAACTATCTACAAGCGGACCATTTTCCATAGCTATGTGAAATAACCAGAGTGTAAGACTCAATTTTGAAGATTCTACGGGGGCAGAGAGTTGTGCCGGCGAATCCCCCACTCACAAATCATGAAACGTATCCAGTCCAGACCGCACCTGGACAATTGGTTGCTGAACTGCAATGGGATACAACCAACAATATGGATGGGATGTCGTCCAACAATGGGCTATGTGGCCTTCAAATTATGGCATAAACACATAATATGTGGGTAAAACAATAATAAACCACAAATTTGGGAATGGTTTATACCACCTATTTATGTTGATTTGGGGGATGGTTTATGATTGTTTTAACCATTTAACATAAGGAAAACGATGGTAGACCACAGGATTTGGGGGTTCCGATTTTCGGACAAAGCGACTCCGGCACTGTTGAGCCATCGCGTCAAACCTGTGATGCCCGCCAGAAGATGTTAACGGGGGAACACGACCAGTGACCAATGCGAATACCCGTGATGCAATGGTGGATTTTTAAAATATATCATGAATGAATATTTGAAAGGTTGGTTGCTGTGTCTTTTGACAAATCAGATCAAATCAGGCTTTCAGTCTACTTCATATGACGGCTTAGATCTGTGTCAAAGAAGTCCAAAAAATTTTTGCTGGGTTATGGCATGGTCATACCGCAAATTCGAGTAGTGTGTTTTATCTGAAACACAGCTAGAACTTACCGCAACTGCAGCGTGGTCATAGCCCATCAACTCACTGGTTGGTGATTGAATTTATCCAAATCTCCAGGAGTCCATTGGGAACATCATCCTATTTCCATGACATAACTGACATAACGTATTTCAATTCACCAAACACTACACCCAATGAGGTCATGGAACTGGTGACTCCCAGTAAGATTGGGGTCTCAAACACCGTCAAACACCGGAGATCAGCAGTCTTTAGGGTTCTCTACCATCATATGAATCATGACTTATTTCTATACATGTCTATAGGATGTTCATATACCACATGATTTAAATATATGGTACTACTAATGTTTGAACCATTTTTTTTTGCCATAAATGCTAGGGGGCGCCATACTACATGTTCAGACAGATCATATAGGTCAATTCATAATTAATAATAATTAATTACCTTATATTATTATCGAAGAAAGTTTAGAAGTCAAACTTCCGGCAATATGGACAGATGAAAAGCAGAGATAGGAAGAGTCAGAGAAGAGAAGAGAAAAGAAGAGAAGAGAAGAAGAAAGACGATCAAGAAGAGAAAGTCTCCGAAGAAAGAAGATCCAGGAAACACTGTGTTTTTCCAATGATTTGTGGCTCCGGGTGGTCGAAAAGTAGGCTCGCTAAAGCGGCGGGTGCGGAGCCAGCTGGCTAGATGAGAGATGAAAAATTGCACGCCGAAATGTACAAAACACCTCAGCCTCGGAGCAATTTTGGAAGTTGAGATGTCGAAAAAGTGCACGCCGTTGTGGAGCGAAGCACATTTCGAAGTCAAAAGTGTAAAAATATGACGGGTTCGGAGCACTTTTGGAAGTTGAGATGTCGAAAAAGTGCACGCTGTTGTGGCGCAAAGCACATTTCGAAGTCAAAAGTGTAAAAAACACTACATGCTCGGACCACTTTTTGACGTTCAGATGTCGTTTCGCGTGGCAGGCGCAAGGGATTGTGCACCGTGCCAAAAGTGAGCAACATGTGAGGGTTTTGTGGCATTTCCAAAAACGATGGCAGGCGTGGGGCATTTGAAGAGGATCTGCATGGCAGGCGCAGTACAAGAGACATGTTCATCAGAGCTGTTAGGAGGTCCGGGGGCTGATTTCCTGAGAGGGGTTACATTTTGGAGCATCAGATCGGGGAAGATGATTTTGCGTGACAAGTGCAGCACTTCGTATGATCTGGGATCACTTTTTCGTGGCAGGCGCAGTACTTTAGACAGGTGGAGTGGAAAAATCCGAAAACACATTGGCACGAGGCCGTCAGCTCTGCACTCAACTTTCCATTTTTGAAGGAAGTCTTGCAGAATTGTTTCGTTTTTGACGTTGTCAACTTCGAAAATTGAGGAAGTCTCGCAGAATTGTTTTGTTTTTGCTGTTGTCAAGTTCAAAAATTTAGGAAGTCTCGCAGCACTGTTTCGTTTTTGGACATGCTACGTTCAAAAATTGAGGAAGTCTCGCAAAATAGCTTCGTTCTGAAGCCTGCAGATAGACAGACAGACAGACAGACAGACAGGCAGGCAGACAGGCAGGCAGGCAGACAGATAGATAGACAACTACAACAACAACTACAACTATACTACACGACTACTACAACTACAAATATGCTATGCTACGTTAGACTACACTAATTCCACTACACTACACTAATTACATTTAATTACACTACACCACACTAATTACACTACAACTACAACAACTACTAATACCACAGCTACAAGTACAATTCCAACTACACCACATTACACTACACTGCACTAATTACACTGCAGCACACTACAACTACAAATACAAATGCGACTACAACTACATTACATTACACAACGCTACACTACACTAATTGCATTACACTACAACTACAACGGCAACTACAATTGCAACTACCACTAAATTGCACTACGCGACACTACACAAATTGCACTACACTACACTACAGCTACAACTACACTACCTTACGCTACACTACACTAGACTACACTACACTACACTACACTATACCAAACTACAGTACACAACACTACAGTACACTACGCTAATTACACACGGTTACAACTACAACTCCACTGCACTACAACTACAGCTACAGCTACAACTGCACTACACCACACTACATCCAGCAGTTGCGGTGAGGTGACCACTGCAAACAATGCAACCACTCCAGAAAACAGTAACACAACTCCAACCACCTTTCGGTCCATCAGTGGATTCGCTCTGCCATCCGTGATTCACAACAACCAACCCTTCCTGTAGGTTTCCTATTTTTGAAACTTCCGCCACCGCCTTGTGCCGTACTACTGGTATCCCTATGAAACCTTGTTTTTGTTGACCAATGGCATACTCAAAACCCACCGATTTCCACCACCAAATTCTGGGGCATCCCAGGGCCCTCTTTAAGGGCGACGGGCCGGCCTCCCCGCTCGGCGCTGTCCAATTCGTCAAAGGCGTTGCACAACACGCTGCCTGGACCGGGACTCAGCAACCGAGTTTTGGTTTCTTGTATGGTGCTCTCCCAGAAACCCTCCCAGAAACATCCTAGGAATCCGAGGATTCAAGATGCCACAAACCACCAGCTAAACAGTGCTTGGACTCATATAGTGAACTATTTGTTGTGCCACTTTTATAACCATAATTCGCCCAAGTTATGGCAATTCCTGCCAAGCAGGGAAAAAACAAGATCATAGTATATAAAGAACAATGGCAGATTGCTATTCTATTTTTTGGGGGTGGCTTTGTGGTACTTGTCGCCCAAATTGAGGGGTATTTTGCTGAGTGCAACCATTGGTTGGATCACAGTTTTTACGTTCAACCCTACTAAAGCCACTTCGTCACTTTTCATTGAGCATGCAGAATCATATCATCTCAGTAAATCATCATATTTCACTACCCTGAACTAAGGCCACCGATCTTCCCTTTGGCCGGCCCTCCACCGCAAGCAAGAGAGGACCGGTTACCCTGAACTAAGGCCATTTGGGGATGATTTCACTCACCATGATTCCACTCGAATCAACTCCGTGCAGCGCCTTCTTCCTTGTCAAAGGCCCCAAAGAGGCACAACAGCCTGGCCGTGGAACAACTGTGGTCCAGCTGGTCTGTCCGGCCTTAACCGCATATGATCAATTCCGGGCATGGATATACATTTGTTGATGCAGGAACTGATATCATGTCCCACAATAGTTCAGAAAGATGACCTAAACATCTGTTTTTTTTGATTCGACATGGATTTTTGGGAATGGAACTTGTCAGAGCACGGGGGATACAATGGGATACTAAATGCTTATTCAATGGGGAAAAATGATGATAAACCAACAGATGTTGTGGTATCTTCCATAGCCAGATCTGAGACAAGTACTGAGACCTTGCGACGAGTTATCCCAACCAGGGAACAATCGGGAATAGATTAAGTTGATGTCAATAGCTAGATATCTGTGACCTCAAGTTATTCCCAATTGTTTGATATACTTTGATGTCAGTGGCTAGTAAATCAACAAGTGGGAGATGGTTTGATCAGCCTTTGGTGGTGGAAATTCATGAAACCATCGGATCCCATGCGGATCACCATCTCACCCAGGAATAGCATAGTAGACATGACTTCGCTTAACATATGTGTATAAGTATATCGATAATTGCACATTTGTATTATGTATCTTGAAACGCTATGTAATCATATCTATATACATATATACATACTCATGTGTATATATATATAAGTATATATAATTATATATACACATATATACGGGTATATATAAAATGGTATATGTATAATTAAATAATCGCATATATATATATATTCCACACGTGAACTAAATGGATAATTTATTCCCCTGTCAACGCCGCGATTTCTTTCACCGGTGCCTGGACAACGCCTCGTGCTCCGGTGAGGCAAAGCGGGACATGGCTTTGGAGCCTCCAGCGCGATTGGGGGGTATGTAGACCAATATATATATATATATATACATTTACTATATATATATATATTTATACATTTACTATGTATATATATTTACATTTATTATATATATATATACATTTACTATATATATAGATACATTTACTATATATATACATTTACTATATATATAGATACATTTACTATATATATATACATTTACTATATATATATATATATCTATACGCATTATATTAATCAGGTTCGATGATAATGGATGTTTAATGTTGTTTCAGAATCTTACTGTTTAAGAACATCCAACAGGTGCTTCCGGAACTGATTTCTTTATCAATATTCCATTCAAAGTGTTTGTATGTGTTTGCGGGTACACGATGGTATACCAAAATATCGATTTGCCAGAAAATATTGTCTCCAGACTTTGGAGTTCAGCCAAAAAGCTAGGCTCAAGAAAAGGTACTTGAAGACATTTGGGTTTGCTTGAACATTTCGGGAAAGCAGCAAACTCCCACTGTATTGAAAATAACTTTCCCCATGCAAGTTGTCATATGCGAAGCAAATCTTTCCTATTTGGATAAATCCACATGAATGGGTCTTGCTGAGTATCCCATTCATAATGCTATTTTCATATAGAAGCGATATTTATTCGTATTGTTTGGTGATTCCCTCACTATATCAATTTTTCCCAAGGGCCGCCTACAGTGGCAAAATCATTGACCGTTGGATCAATGACAAAAACAATGGGGAGTTCGATGGACTTCAACCAATATATATATACATGTGTGCGTCTTAAGATTTGGATACCACCACTGTTTTGCTAATGGGAAAATGAAATTCACCAGGTCTAACCTGTGGAAGGGGTGCACCATTTTCAGAGAAACCCAACAAGAATTGAGACACGTGACATAAGCAGCAGCGGTAGGCAGAGAAACTAGAATGGGTAGGCAATCAATAGAGGCTTAGAACGGCAAAAAACAACAGGTGAATAACACAAAAAGACAACAACACAAACGGTAAATGGCAAATCTTACAGGTGGCAAGCAAATATCCCAGCAGTCCCACATTAAAAATGGCTGTGGGTCAAACCCCTGCTACACTGTAGTTCACATGAACATAGCAGATGAATGGATGTTCATCCACCAAAACTATGGTATTGTAGGTTTTGACCTAGACTTGGGGGGTGCAGTTCCGCTAATAAGCGGTTCTACAATCATAGTTGTAGAGGTGATTACTGTAATTAAGAACTCATCAGGTTCCAATCTCATGGATGCTGTAATCCCATAGTGATGAAATCACCCCAAGTGTACCCCCAAGTGCCCAGAGGCCTCTTAAGAGCATGAAGTCTGCCCAGCAATCAGCACCTGAGTTCAAACGTAGCTGCCTACCCTGATACAACCCCGTTCACATCTAGCACATCTACTTGGTTCATCTCTCAAGATACCCGCGCAAAAATCGCACTTACCTACTCATCATTTCAATACTCACTTACTCATCATCTGAGTACTGCTCCACTTGATGATTGGATATGATTGGTATCATGCTCCAAACGCCCACTGCGCCCACTGCTCACAACAGGACGCCCTGGGGCCCCTTAGGCCCCTTACCATCAGAGGTCCAGAGACTTTGCAGCGCCTTCAAGCCGGGAGTACAGCGTTTGAACATGCTTTCGGTCCTGAGTGTCGAGAATTCCGGTCGACGTGTGGGCGACTCTTGAGTTTTGCAGGCGAAATTTGCATCAAAAATGATGATAGTTCATGATCGTTCGGTACCACAAATGACCAAATTTGCGTCTCTTCTTAGCAATTCCAGTAAGTGGTTAACAACCCATATGAACTGGGGCTCGTCATAACTCATTCAATTTGTAACTCTGAGTTCTGGCAGCCCTTTTTGGAGCCTGGCTGAACTTGAAACAAACCCTGCCTCTTGGCAAACATCCCGATCCCAGACATGTCACTGCGGTGATGAACGAATGAATCATCCAGAACATGGACAATGAATACGAAACAATCAGCCCGTCGAGTCAAGAAAAATGGCTCAAAATCCTGTACCCTTCTGTTCACGTCATTCAATAGCCGGGATTTCTGGATATTCATTCTCCCCATTCACATCATATGTATTGCTGTATTGATCCATGCACATAATGTCTTTGGAGTCTCTGGACCAGCAATTCCTACCCAAAATCTTGATATCTTTGCTCTCAAAGATGAGGATTTTGCGGGGCCTCTCCACATCAATCAAGTAGATAGTATGTATAGATATGACATTCTACAGTAGATCAAAGCTTATAGTAAATTTGACACAATTCAACATGTTTGGATCCAACATATTTTTCTCATTTCAACATTTTCATTCTTCATAATTCACAAGAAACCGCGACAACGATGCGACCGAGTGTCATGAATAATGAGCCAATCTGACTTTCCTGACCTGCACGTTCTGAACATAAGTCTGAAACATACCCAATTTTGGTGAGTTCAAAACGTGCTCCCGGATCATTAAGTGGATTCTCTCTCTCTCTATACATGTATAATCACATATATATATATCTCTCTCTCTATATATATATCTATCTCTCTCTCTATATATATATATCTATATATCTATCTCTCTCTATATATAATATGTACACATTATATTATATCTATTATACGTACATGTAGATGTTTTCTGATGATCCACCCCGATGATTCCAGCTTTGAGTTTTTCTTCAGGCCAACCGGCCAGCCCCATTGCGTTGGCGTTGAAACCGCGCCTTTTTTGCCGCACATCTGCGCAAAGATGCGGAAAAGGAAGAAGGCATGACCCTCGGGGCCATGGGGTTTCCTTGGTCCGCAGGGAGCCTATCTTTGCAGGGTTTTGGAAGCTTTCCTGCCACATGCATATAGGGGTCGTATCCTTTAATCTTTAGCCATACACCCATATACATTGGAATAGGGAAACATCAAAGGATGCACTGGTTTGATCATCTATCTCGTTCATGCTTGGAGGCATGAAAATCATGTTTCAAGCCTAAGACTTCACCATGTGAAATTTTCTTTTTGGGGAAATCTATCGAAGTATGAATGAAATACAGCCTAGTATAAACTATATGAAAATATAAACATATAGTATAATATAGTATAATATAGTATAACATAGTATAATATAGTATAATATAGTATAATATAGTATCATAAGAGATTTGGGAAACATCAAACACAAACTACTGCCCTCTCAGCCAAGTTTGATTACAACTTGGCTAGCTCCTGGTGGTAAAAGGCGACCAATTCCCAAGTGGTACAGGATGGGGCCCTTCAGTCGATAGCGACCAGTTGGTTTACAAGTGGCAGAATTCTATGGTTTCTGGATGATATAACGAACTAGATAACTATAGTATTCATTGGGTTTATAAACCAACTTATAAGTGGGGGGCACCATGCTGTACAAATTGGATGGAATATTTTCATAGGTTAAACAGATGTTAAACAGTTTTGGCATCTTTGGTTACGAAACCACCACAAATCAAGGGTAGCACCATGTGCCACCGATTCCTGGTGGATCCAATCGGAAAAAAACAGCCCAGACACAAGCGTTCCTTGACCATCACCAGATTGGCCACCGTGTTTTCTCCCAATAGAAATTGGCTGAACTCAAAGTCCACCTTGGCCGGTGGATCAACCGCTGAATCACGGAAGTTTTTGTCTCTAGACTGGAACTCACCGCCACACAAATAAATACACAACCCCCAGGTGTTGAAACATCAGCTGTGGACGTTGCCCACCATGAAACAGATGGCGGCAGGTGCGTCGTCAACAATGGATCTCAGCATCACCAGATCGTCTACCGCGAGTCATCAGAAACATCCTGGTCATCAAACCCACAAAGGAAAATCATAAATCTCATCCATGAGAAAAAATCAGGAAAGTCATCAGTATGATAATGTATAATCAGTATCCCCAGTACAGCCAGCATCCCCAGAACCACTAGTATCTTCCGTATCTTCCGTTCTTCAGTATTATCAGAATCAACAGCATGAAAAGCATGAAGAGCATGAACAGCATGTACAGCATCATAATCATAATCATCATCAACAACAACAACGACAACATCATCATCATCATCATCATCATTATCATTAGCATTATCGGTATCAGTATCAGTATCAGTATCATTATCACCACCACGACCACCACCACGACCACGACCACGACCACGACCACCACCACCACCATCACCACCCCACCACCACCACCACCACCACCATCATGATCATGATCATGATCATCACATCATCATCACCATCACCATCACCATCATCATCATCACCATCACCATCACCATCACCATCATCATCATCATCCACAACAGAATTATCCATCACCATCCTTAGTGTCGTCGTCTTCGTCGCCGTCGTTGTCGTCATCATCATGAGATTCACCATCACCATGGTCATCATCAAAAGAATCACCATCAACCCCTGTTTCCTGCTCAAGTTGTCCGAGTGGCACTCAAACAGTCGATGATGAGCGACTTGTACCTCAGACACGGATGAAAATGGTCGGCATCCTTTGAGAGTTCAGTTTGGAATCTTGAATTCCAATAAAAAAAATCTTGGCAATGCACCCCGGCTGCGAACCAGTGCGTTTTCCAAAAATCTTGGATTCCTACAGTATAGGTTCCAGTCGGGCCCCTAGACCCAAAAAAAACAGGAGACAAAGTAGTACAATGAACATCAATGAACTACTAAATTGGGCGATGAATGGATGGAACCATTTTCAACCATGCTCTATCACATCACAAAACATTCCTCACCGATCCTCACTGTGAGATGGGTCCCAAGCAAGCTTGGGAAGGTTGGAAGATCCACCAAAGAAAGAGGCTTCTTGGCACTAATCCATTGCGAGTAGAACTATGTCCATTCACTGTTGCTGGAACGCACTCACTTGCTAATCAAATGATGTCACTCAGAATCCTCTTTCCCCTTTCTGCAACAACAATATTCTTCCTGATTTTTGGTGGTTTCAACATGTTTCAACCCATCCCACGAATATGAAGTGACCTGGCTTGTGCTGGCTTTGCCATCCCAGGTAAAGATGGACAAATAATTGTTAAAAGCACCAGCCTGTCATGTGTAGTGGCCCAAACATCATCCATGACCTACCCCACCATTGTATTAAACGCCTGTTTGGGTTGCTTAATTCCCATGTCCATTGCTTCCCATCTTGGTTGCTTTAGAGTTCAGCTTTTATTGGCTTATATATATATTATATGATTCTATTTATATTTATTCATAGAATTTTATGGATATATTATTTGATATATTCCAATATTTCGGTATATATTCTGCCCAAGTGGCTTCTTGTCCAATCGATTCACGGACGGCACCACCTCTGGCCTCTCTTCTAAGATCTGCGCTAGAGCCAAGTCGTGCCTTGGAATTGGAGCAGCTGGATGATGCTGTGAATTGCCCCCATATGGAGAGCTTTCATAGGTAACTTGACCCATACCCACATAAAAAAGAGAGCACAAAGATTGTGCAGTTTCTTTTCCAAAGATGGTGATTTAATTAAGTTGGAAACAGCTGAAATCATCTCGTTTGGTGCTTTGAATTGATCGGGAGCGCAAGGAGGATTCTGAGCCCGCAAGATTTTCCATAATCAACACGAAACTGGAGTTTTTACCCGCAACTTTTCTTTGATGTTTAGCAGAGCTTAGCAACTTAAGTGGGATGATGTTTAACAACAACACTACGTGGCATGATGTTTAGCAAGACTTTGGGAAAATTCGACTAGATGCCACCAACCAGCCTATGCGTATATTATTATGATGCTACAATCACTGTCATTGTTTGTTGGCATTCCAAAACACCAACCCATACCAGCAACAGCCGGTGATTGAGGCCATCAAAACATATGAAAGTCACCTAGAATGATCAAGAATTGAACATGAGAAATACTTATTACAGTGAGCCTATCTGAAACCAACCAAAACAGCGATTGCGTAGATCATGCATCGATGCCAAGGGTCAGTTGATCAGTTTGATTCGGCAAAGGTGCTGAGGGGGACATTCACCAACAGACTTCTTGGACAAACCGGTAGGGCCGTCACCAGCTTTTTTGTTTTGCTAGCATGGGCCATCTCGCCATCGGAAGTCGAGCCAACCCCTGGTGACCTGGTAGATTACACAATCTTGCAATACCAATTCGATTATATATGTAAATATATATATATGTAAATAAATAAATATATATATATGTATATATTGTTTTTTCTTAATGTGTTTATATTCTTCATCACCAATTTTTCATCACTTTGCGGACCCTCTTTTTGTCAGGATTTGATTCACCCGGGGTTGACATTTATCTTTGACCTACACATCTCGCAAGCCATTTTCGGACAGCATGGGCCTGACAATAGAGTACCCCAAGGCCCAAGGGTCTGGAACAACATCTTCTCACCATTGGATCAAGGTGATACCCCACAAAATATGTCTGATTTTGGCCACGGATATTATTATATAATATATCCCACATCCATTGAGACAAACCCGCATCAATGAAGCCAAGGCACATTTCTTGCGTGTACTTCTGCACTGAAGCGAAGTCTTCCCGAAAAGCTTTGTACTTTCCTGCGGACCCAAGGAATACCGCATTGCTTTTCCAGCCCCCCAAATAAGAATCAATCCTTCCATATATAGATTCCCGAAAAAGTGGATTTCGAACCAAAAAATCATCTCTACTCAATAGCAGTGGCTGCGATTCCTGCAAATGGGTGAAATCACATGCTGCCATCCCAGTACCGAGCAAGTGAATGTTGCCTGAGATGTCCAATCGGGTAACGAAAAAAACCGCTGCTGTTAATATTCACCCACATTCACGGAGATAATGGTATGCTTTGATAGTTTTTGACCCATCCCTATACGATTGAACATCTCCATATCTAGTTACAGTAATATGTTAATCAATCCATTTGTCCAAGGCCCATGCCCACATTCTGCTGGTCCTAAGGCATGGACGGCCATGAAGCTCAAAGCTGCATCCTCGGAGTGTCACAGATATTCATGCTTGGCCGATCTTGCATAAGAACGGCCATAAACATATCCCATTGATATTGTTGCAAATCATTGCAAATGACCTATCATTATGATTATCTCTCTGCTACAGGGGCTGCCCCCCAAAACAACATCAAAATGCATAGTTCTTGCATGTTGAAAATGCATGTTTGGAATTAGGGTTGGCAGAATGCATGTTGAAAATGCATGTCAGCCAATGCTTGCTGGAGTTTTCTTGGCAAAACATGCCTGGGGCCACTAGTCACCAAGGCTCAAACTAGGGTCTCTGGGTCAACTGTGTGGACAAGCAAACAGATATTTACATTAGTGTGCAAATAACTTGGGTAGATATCAGATAGCAGATAGCATCTATACATACAACCATATACACATGTTCTATCAGCAATGCATTGCCATAGGTCAAAGCACCTCGGTATGTCCGAGGCAAACCTAAGTCTAAGTCTAACTCTGAATCTAGGCAACAGGCCCTGGCCCTAGCCAATCAGCCAGTCATTGGCAGACCGCAGAAGACTTTTTTCTTTTTGAGCGGCTTTCTGCAGCAATGTCTCACTCGGGCAGCGCAGCTAGCTCTGAAGAGGCAGCAGCGGAGTCCCAGTTGTTGTGGGAACTTTTTTCCAGCTCCAAGTCTATGCAAGATGGACAGGTGCTGTGTTGCAAGTCAGAATCTAGCAGTGCAGCGTCCTTAGTGCACACCCCGGACTCACAGTCATCCACCCCAAGTCGCCATCGCAAAACAACTGCATGGTGGGCGCATTTGATCAAAAACCATCTGAAGCAACACGTTGTAGACCCTGAGAGCGAGCCAACCTCACCAAGAATGGTGGTGTCAGTGTGTGCTGGAGTCTGCTCAGAAGCAGAAGTGCTACGTGTGTCTTAGTTGCAAAGATCGCTAATCAGCTAATCATATCAGTCATATCATTAGTAATCCTGAGTATCATTAGGGTTCAAGCTGGGAAAGGGGAAGCGGGGTCAATTCAAAAATCTATATAGATTGATCTAGACTCTGTAGACTCAGAAAAGACCTGTTACACAATCGTTGCATGAATTTAAGATTTAAAACTATTCAGACAGAGGGACAAACAGACAGAAAGATTGGACAAGTAGAACTTGTAGATTGTAGATCAATAAACTCAGGTCTTAGGTCTTAGGTCTTAGGTCCGGTCCTAGGTCTATAGCAGAGAGAAACGGTGCTGTTCACAACTTTACAAGATGGAGCTCCGCAAGAGTATCTGACCGTCATAAGTGAGGTGAGGTGATGTGTTTACTGTTTATGTCATAAGTTTATGTATTGTATTGCTTACATCCATTGAAAGCATCGTGTTCCAGGGTACAATCGCCTAATACCAACCGATCTCCAACCACCCGGTCACCACCCCCACCATCAACAATCTACCAATCCCAGGCCCTTGGCATTCCTTTTGAGATTGGTGGGCTTGCAGAGAAGAACAAGAACTACCAGGGGGTCATCAATGAGAACAACCCAGGGAGGGTACGGCATATGTGGGGGGATGTGAAGTTCATGCCTGAAGGGTCACCATGTTTGCTTTGCAAGGGTGACCATGCGTCTTGTGAAATCCCTTGTGACATTCATCTGGCGGTGACAGGATCACCGTGCAACCCTTTTTCAACATATCGTGCCAAGAGATTTGTTGATGGGGCTATGTGCCATTCCATGTACAAGACAACCGGGGAAGATGTGGTTTCCTTCTACTGCAAATATGAGCCCCACGTTGGTGTCACCGAGCAAGTCAAGGGTTTTGGAATGGCTACTTCTTCTAGCGACGAAGAGTCTCCAATGGAGAAGCTACTCAACTCAAAAGTCACAAGGTGTTCAACTTGTTCAACGCCGTTCAGAAAATGTCAGATATCATCCGATATAATTGGAACATCAGTCATATCAACATCAGTACTGATACTGGGAGGAAAACTATGGGGTAGGTAGATGAAAGGAAGCAACTCACTGTTTGTAACATGGTTTTCGTTGAATGCAGCCAAGTAGGTAGGCAACGTAGGACAACCATATATATCATATCAGACATATCCAGACCTTTCACCGATACTGTAATATATATATATTTATATTTATATAGTAATATAAGTATATATCAACCCCAACCCATTGCAACACTGCAACCAACAAGGTTTCTGAAGGCTATGGCCAGCCAGACTTGGCCTCGGGGTGGCGGCTACTGGTTTGTGAAGCTTGAACTTGATGCTGCACTGTGGCTTAAGATCAGCAGACCCAGGACAGCCGGACAGTCTTGGGGCCCTGGGTTTGTGTGGCGGAAGGAAACATTTTGGTCAAGGCCAAGGCCCTACTGACTAACTAGTGACTAGTGACTAGGGCTAGGTCTAGGTCCTAGGTCCAGGTCAAGTGTTTCGAGTTTACTTATTATGTAGCGAATATAGAATATAGACTATAGATTCTTCTTAGTTGCTAAACCTTGGTTTGTTTGGTTTGATAGTTCCCTGGTGGTTAGCGAGCTGCTAGCTGTAGCTTCTGCTGATGCTCCCATGTCCCATGGCACCTGCGGCACCAAATACTTGATGGGTTTTGCATCTCGGTTCAACATTAAACAGAACATGGCTTGCTTGAACCCATTTCAATTTCACAAGGAATGTAGCGACCTCGCGCTGCAGATCCCAGATAGAATATATTATTTTTACATTATACATATATATATATGTATATATATATTATTAATATAATGTTATTTTCTAGATCAGGTTCGACACAAACCGTGGTATGATATGACATTGCAAGATTTGTTTCGAGACATCACACACGCAGCTAGCAGCTACCAGCTCACTTTTCATGGTCATGCCTCTCTATGGCTATGGCAGATGATTCGCTGTTGAGACAGTTGTTCTTTGCAGTCGGTGATAATTCTGCCATCAATAGCTCTGGGGCAGCTACAGCTAGCAGAGCAGCTAGCAGTTCTACTGGTGCAAATGCCCCTGCCGATCGGATTGGCATTGCTGATCATGTGGAAGATCCTGAAGACACTGAAAACCAACAGGAGGAGCAAGGCTTGATTGAAGAAATGTTTCGGGCATTCGGGGGTGACCACCAGGAAATTGGTAATGAAGAACCTGGGATTCTTGAAGAGTCCTCAGCATCCTTAGTGGATTTCTTTGGGGCGCAAAACCATCTAGAGAATTTAGGCTCCATGCTTCAAGTGGGATTGTTCAATCGCTTTCTGAAGTATGCTTCGAAAAAGAGCTGCCTACCTGATTCCAGTCCTGCAGAAGGTAGCAAGGTTTCATCGACAGCTGCACTAACCTCCACTATAGTGAGTCATTTTGTGCATTCTAATGCAATGAAATCGGTAGCAGCAGTTGCAGAAGCAACTGGAAGAACTCACAAGAGGGTTGGAACTTCATTGCAGAGAGTGGCTAGCGTCATGGTCCATGCATCTGGGTGGATGGTTGGCTGTTGTTTGTCCACATGGAGGAGATTGTTTCGATCTGGCCGGTTCAAACCAGTGGCAGTGGTTGACAAAATGTTGTACGATGAAACACCGTTAAAGATGAAAATCCAAGAGTGGAATCGTTTTCTTGGGCAAGCTGAAGGTGTAAGACATCAAGGTCCTTTGCAAGAAACATACAAGTTTGCCAAGATCTTGCGTTTGGACTGGCAGCTGAGCTTCATAGTGTGGGACAGTTTGTTGAGACGGCACAAGTTGATCACGGTGGCCTTGCCCGTCCCTCTGAATGCTGTGGATCGAAATACCTCAGAATGTTTGTTGGCAGTTATTGACAAAGTTCACTCTGTCATTCCTGAATTGGAAGCCTTCTGCAATGATTTTGGTCTCCGCATCAGGATGCCCATAATTGACAGGTTCTCAGCAAATTTCAAAGCAGAAAGGTTTATCAAAACAAGACAGGACAATTTGGTCTCGTCAGTGTTTACGTGTGACGTCCACAAACAAGCCTCTTGCATAAAGAATGCAATGTCACTTACAGACGACACATTGTCAGGGATCATCAATTTGGCACTTTCATTGGAGGGATCGGGTAGCCTGGATCGGATGAGAAATATCCTCCAAGAAATATTCAGTGAAGAACTTGTGGTTGTGTATCAGCCACCGCCTGGTGAGGGCACTGAGGTGTTCAGGCATCGCCAAGCAGTGTTGAATACATTTCTTCCACTCAAAGGCATGAAGAGTCGGAAGAGGAGGTTTGTACTGCATTGCCTTGCAAATTCTGATTTGGCAGACCATCAAATCGTTCATTTTTGCAGCTTTGGATGTTGCCGGGGTCCTGATGACAGTTTGGCAAATTTTCGAACATGGGTGACTTGGGCATTACTCCCATCAAAGCTGGGGGTATTCAACCGGAAGTCATGGACGGGATCAGATGTGGCAGTTCATTGGTGTGGGCTTCTTGCATCCCACTGGCATCTGTTGCCAAAAATCATTTTGCGCTTTTTGACCGTGGACCGGCCTCGGCCAATTTCTGCAGATGGCATGGAGGGTATTGATGTTGATCCCAATGCAACTCAATTCCTGGCCGATCCAGCCATAGAAGACATGAAGGAATTTGAGTTGCTTTTTCAGGTCAGGGTTGGACGGTTGGGCGGTTGGACAAACAGTGACTGCACTTGTGACGATGAAAATGACTATGACTATGACTTAGTGGCGTTTTTCTTCCTGAAAATCGTTTCCAGAGACCTCATGGAACCTTATAGTATGGCCCCATCAGCAAAAGTCATAGTTCCATAATAGAAGTAACATAGTTAGAGTTAGAACTATCAGATAATAGATCAGATAGCCGCTACAATGAGAAGAACGCTTTACATTATCTAGGTGTAAGAACTATTTATGACTGCAATTATTGGACGTAGAAAAAAACTTTCAATAGACTCAATAGATTCGAAGATGTGTGTGTGTGTGTGTCCCTATTATCCTGTTTATTTTCTCATCCTCGGTCACAGTTTTGCTGACCAGGCAATCCAGAAAACTGGTGGAACTTCTGCTGCTGGAGCTACAGCTACTGGAGCAGCTGCAGCTGACGATGATGGTGATGAGGATGCTGAACAGGGAGCAGAAAAGGAAGATGAGGAGCCAGCTGGTCTTGATTCCGGGGAGCCTGCAGTCGAAGGAGAGGGAACAGACTGGAAAACTTTGAATAGGCAACGCAAAAAGAAAGCTGGTCTGTTTGTCTGTGTCGCTGATCTTACAGAGAGGTTTGTAACAGCTGCTGTGGGATTGGGGCCATCCATGGCACTCCTTTTCTCTGCATTCAAGTTAGCTTCCGCTGAGTTTGACAAAGAACAGGACAGGCTTTTGCACAGAGGTGAGCCCCGGACATTTCGTGTGTTGGAAACCGCTAGAGGGACACTGATCAAAGAGTGCTTTGAGCAAGTTGGTGTTGTCATGGGACAGTGCCCTATGGCATTGCCAAGGTCAACACGAACACGCTGCACAAAGTCCATACTTTTCCGGTTGCTAAGCTCTTTGCTTTGTTCCATTACATCGGTCTTGAGAAGGTACCACGAAGGGTTTCCCTACCAGCTTTTTAGGATTCTAGATGGGAAAGAAGCTGCTGCAGAAGTCTTCGCAATTCCTGCTTGCATGAGGGACGAGCTTTCTACAAGGTTCTTTGAGTTGTTTCCTACACTAGCAGCAGCTACTTCTGTAAATGGGCTGGCGATTTTGCAAAGCTTGGCAATTCTGGTGGAAGTAGATACTTGGCGAAGGTAGTTTGATATACTACTATGTTGTCATATCAGCACATGGGTTGTTGCCATGTGGCTGCTATACTATACCTTTCCTTACTTATTTCAGAGGATCAGATCACTGGTGAGAGTTTTTAAAGCTAAGATACAGATACATTATGATATATTATGATATATCATATTACCAGTAGTACCGCACAAGGCGGTGGCGGAAGTTTCAGAATAGGAAACCTATAGGAGAGGCTGGTTGTTGTGAATCACGGATGGCAGAGGGAATCCACTGATTGACCGAAAGGTGGTTGGATTTGTGTTTGTTGGAGTGGTTGCGATGGTTGCAGTGGTCACCTCACCCACAACTGCTGGATTGAGTGTGGTGTAGTGCAGCTGTAGTTGCAATGTAGTGGAGTTGTAGTTGCGGTGTAGTGTAATTAGTGTACTGTATTTTCAGTTAAATTGTAGAGGTGTAATTAGTGTCTGGTGTAACGTAATGTAGGGTGGTGCTATGCTATGTAGTGTAGTCTAGTGTAGTGTAAAGTAGCGTAGTTGTAGTTGTGGTTGTAGTTGTAGGCGCAGTGTAGTGTAGTGCAGTTGAGGGTAGTGTAATGTAGTGTCATGCAATGTAGAGCAATGTAGTGTAGTGGAGTGTCATGTGGTGGAGTGCAGTGTAGTGGGGTGTAGTGTAGTGGGGTGTAGTGTAGCGTATTGTAATTGAGTGTAGTGGGGTGAAGTGGGGTGGCGTGGAGTGTAATGTAGTGCAATGTAGTGTAGTGGGTGTAGTGTAGTGTAGCGGAGTGGAGTGTTGTGTAGTGTAGTATACTGTACTGCAGTGTAATGTAGTGTAGCGGAGTGAAGTGTAGTGGAATGTAGTGTAATGTAATGTAGTGTAGTGTTGTGTAGTGTAGTATACAGTAGTGTAGTGTAATGTAGTGTACTGCAATGCAGTGTAGTGTAGTGTAGTGGGGTGTAGTGTAGTGTAGCGGAGTGTTTTTTTAGTGAATTATACTATAGTGTAGTGTAGTGAAGCGTAGTGTAGGGTAGTGTAATGTAGCGTAATGTAGTGTAATGTCGTGTAGTGTAGTGAGTTAAGTGAGTTAAGTTCGTTAAGTTAGTTAAGTTAGTCAGTGTGCACTTTTTCGACATCTGAACGTCAAAAAGTGGTCCGAACCTCTCAGTTTTTGACCCTCTGGAGCCACAAATCATTGGAAAAACGCAGTGAATCGTGACTTTCCTACCTTTTCGCGCACCTGCATCTTCTTTCTTCTCACTTTTTCTCCTCTCTGATCTTCTCACTTCTTTTCTTCTCCTCTCTGACTCTTCCCACCTCTGCTTGTCCATCTCTCCATATTATTGTCGGAAGTTTGACTTCTAAACTTCCTCCGATTACTTTTCTGGTTTGGGTTCGGGTAGTGACTTGTCTTAGTAGCTGTAGCTGGTAGCTGGTATTGAACTGGTAGCAGCTGGTAGCAATGACAGCTTAGGACATCAGCACCATGGAATGCGGTCATTCAGCCATTCGAGAATTTACTAAACTGCGAGGCAAAGGCCACATACCGCATTTGGCAGAGGTTTCTGCCAAGTCGATTTGTCGATTCGTGGCAAAACATCATGATCATCGTGGTTGTGCTACTGAGGGAGACCAACAAAGTGGACAACCAACAAAAGGAGAACCCACTAGCAAGAAAGGGGGAGGAGGGCCGTGGAGGGCGTTTGTCTCTGAAAGATCTAGCAAGACAAAGCTCACTCGCCAGGGGATCAGGAACATGAAGGAGGAATACAGGAACCTGAGTGCAGAGGAGTTTGCCCACTACAAACGCCTTGGACATGCCATGACAATACAACACAGACTGAACAAATCACAATATCTCAACCAACGTACTAGTCAGGTCCCGGATACAATTCCAGGCCATGAGCTTGTACCTGCAAATGACAGCAATCTCATACTTGCAGACCCACAGTCTAGCTTGGTAGTGGATGGTGATGATTTTGGTGAGAGGTTCAACTCTTTCAAGCAGATCCTTCGTAGAGAACAGAAAAGCAAGAAACAAAGTGACACTCTCGCACGACAACCTGAGGATCCAACCGATGATGGATCACATGACATGTCCATGTCACACTTTGTGAGGGCTGGTGGGCCAGGATTGGTGGATGGGTTGAGACGACATCCTACAGGGGCTGGAGCAGCATCATTGGTGGTTGATCGATTTCATTGGAAACTTCCAATCGTCCCGTTTGTGCAGGCTGTACTGGATGAAGGGGCTCGTGCAGAGGATGAGCTCAAAGTCATTGAGTTAGAAGATGCCTGGACCAGACTTCATGAACTGGTTCAACATTCTGACCAAAAAGAATTGGACTTTCGGAATGGTGGTGGCAAGCCTTTTCCCATCACAGCTTGCTCCAAATTAGGCACATGCGTTTGCTCATCAGAAGGCAAAGCAGCAGCTCTCATGATTTACAAGCTCAAGGCTCACATGAAAGCATGCCATCCAGGCACACACAAAGAGCCCTCTCAGGAACGAATGCGTTTTTACGCAAAGCTCTGTGTCTTGGAGTTGTGTTCTGAAGACTTGGGGACAAGTGAGCCACCTATGTGGGAACAAACAGATGGCTCAGAGTCAAAGCTCCTCTACTTGCATTGTGGATACACCAATTTTTCTACATGGGAAACTACATGCACTCGGCTCCATGAATGCTTTTACAACCCTATCAATGGTGCTTGAGCTGCATTACATTCCAGTCTGGATAGTAAGATAGTAAGATGATAGTTATGATAGCAAGTATAGTATATAATATTTAAGTATATAATAGTACCGGACAGTACCTTGACTTTTGACTCATGTCAAAACATGACTCCTGACCATTTTGAATCTAGAACCTACAGTAGGTCAACCCTGAAGTGTTTTTTCTTCTTGGTGGTTTCCACATATCTATAACTGTTTACTACTATTATGGTTCTGTTGGTTTTCTTGGTGGCAGTGGATGGTTTGCTAGGTCGGCTCACCTTGACTGCAAGCCGTGGCGATGACCAAATCGAAAGCCGCACTTGCCTAGACTTCTTGAAAATGTACTGGAACAAGGCTACGCCATGCTTTGTCCGTTTCTACACGATAGTGACTTCGAAAGACGAACTGATTGAAGAAGACATGATGCTTCCAAAACTTGTGGATGTCAAATTGGAACCTGTCCCATCCCATCGGTTTTGGCGAGGTTCTGCTGTTGAATTTGCTCCCAAAATCTCAAGACACCGGAAAAGAAAACCAGATAGTAACACCGACCAAAAAAAAGGTATATTGGTAAGGAAGATGCCCCGGACTAGGGCCAGGGCCACTGGCAACGAATCTACTACCAGTGAACCCGGACACTCTCACATGGACATTGACAATGATGATCTGGACATGGAACAGGAAGAGGAGGGGGATTCAGCAACCGGACTTGAAGAAGAGGACATTGAACCAGATTTGGATGATGCCATTGCTGAGATGTGTCCTGACCATGAGAATGCAGAATCAGAAGCAGGAGAAGCTGACGAAATGACCGAGTGTATGGCTGACTTGATTCAAGAGTTTTTTGCGCAAACTGGAACTCAAGATGGTGATGCCTGTGACTCTGAGAATGATGGTGAGGATGATGTCAATGAGATTGATCCAACAGGCGACCCTGACTTGCAGGAACCTGTTCATCCGCTTGAAGCTGAACAGCCCGATCAGGCAGAGAACAGACCCGGCCCTTCTGGAACTTCTGATGCTTGCGAATCCAGCCATCCACCAGCAGCACCCGATAGCAGCAGTGATCCTTCCAGCAGCAGCAGCAGCAGCAGTTCCAGTTCTGATGAAGCAAGTACCAAGCCCCCTGAGAGGCGTCATGTTCCAACTGTGGCAGAAGCTGGTGCACAGTCAGCTTCTGTTCATGATCCATCCACCATAACAATTGGCCCATTGAAAATTGTGAAGAGGTTTCACCCTGTCCCTTGCATGACTGCCGCCATAGAAGTTTTAGTGACTGGTTTTTTGGCAGTTTCCAGGTGTTTTTTAGATTCAGGCTTTGATGATTTTTCTTTGATGAAACCCAATGTGTTTCTTGCTGGGGTTCTTCCATCCTCAGGTTCCAAGCTATTATTGCAAGTGCGTGGTTCACAGCATCCCAGGGGGAAAGCAGTGTCTCAAGAGCATGCAGACAAACCAGCCCGATGAGCCAACTGTCAGACTCCGACTTCGCACATGGCTACTTGAAGGCTCTGGCGAGGTTAAGAGGGTTGAGGCATAGTATGGCATAGTATGGCATAGTAAAGTAAATAGTACAGTATAGTATAATATAGTATCTAGTATAGTAGTATAGTATAGCATATAGAATAGTAGTATAGTATGGCAGCATATTATCAAACAGCGTGTACTGTTACTATGACTAGGAAGATGATTATGACTGTGTCTATGTGGTGAGTCTATGTCTGTCTATCTATTTTTTTTCAAAACCATTAGGTCAGGAGTCATGCAATAGGATGTTTTCGAAGAAAAATGATTTAGAAGAAGTTTAGCAGACACACACACACACATATCAACACTTCCTTTCGACTGTTTTGTTTCTATATCTGACTCTGGGACTCTCGTTGAGGCCTCAAGATGGATCGACAAGCTGGTGAGAGCGATGAGGAGCTGAGGACAAGACACAACAGAATGGCGCCTTGGAGGGAAACAATTGAAAATAGTTACGGCTAGCTAATTTAGTTTAGTTTTAGCTATTGTGTTTTTAGACACTTGATTAATGAATTGGATCACCTTGGTGTTTTTGATTCGGATACATTTACATGTTGCAAGTCTATCTATATATGATAATATATGACTCATATGACAATGTGTTCCGAAAATTTTATTTTCACGAAACCCAACCAATCAACAAGGTCCCTCCAAAAGTTGGGCTGCAGAGCGAGCAAGACCTAGATTCACAAATCACGGCCGAATGCCGTCGCCACGGTCTACTTTGACTTTAGCTGGCTGCCATGTGGTTTCACTGCAAAACAAACTCAAGATGAGTATCTCTTTCGTGAGTAGCTGGTCACATGAAAAGCATATGGCCCTACCCGACTCCTATCCATAGTGTCAAAGACACCACTCTTCTTCAGCAACTCTTGCAAACATTGCAGCAAAAGTTAGTCAAATCAGTTGTGGCATCCAGTTTCCTGATTTACTGGTGGTGGATCACATTGACAGCAAGCTGGTATAATATAGTAATAGTACAGTAAAGTATATAGTTAGTAACAGCAATAGCAGCACTGGATCAGACTGGTTAAACTTTTGAACTTAGAAACCCTGAAAATGAACGGCTTCCCTACTGAGCATGAATGGTAATGGCATGTGTTTGGGGATTGGTCCGATATTTTTGATTTGAAGATTGTAGCCAAATATTCCTACTTGGTAGAATAGTAGCAGTGCATTTGATCAGACTGGTTAAACTGTTGAACTTAGAAACCCTGAAAATGAACGGCTTCCCTACTGAGTATGAATGGTAATGGTATGTCTTCGGGGATTGGTCCGATATTTTTGATTTGAGGATCGTAGCCAAATATTCCTACTTGGTAGACTTGTAACAGTAGTAACAGTGCTCCCTTGGTCACTGGTCGACTGTTCAGTATCACGCCAAATCACGTACATATGGCATATGGCATATGGGGTGGTTTACTTTCATTCAAAAATCAAAGTTTAGAGTCTAGACAGGAAAGCTTACCATTTTGAAAGTACCAGGTAGTCAGGCTCCCACCCTCACATTTTTTCTTTTGTCTAATGTCAACACCGGATGAATAAACCACAGGCTGTTTATTGGGGGGGTACCATTTCACTATAGCTAATTACTGTACTTTTAAAATTAATCAACCAGGGTTTATTAATCCAGGGTTGACATTATTGCCATTTGAAATGGCTGCCATTTGATATCAAAATTTGGACAAAACCCCATGGCTTCTTATTTGAATGGGTGCCACCAGCAATTGTTGTTAATGGTTGAAATTTGGATATGGGACTAAGTCTAGATTCCAGATATCTTCCGATGTTGGAGACCTATCCGACCTACCGATCAACCAACTCTAACATATTTGGTTGTTTCATGGTCCCATTGCATTTCATTGGCCCATCCAACATGGGTGGATAAACATAAATTAATTCCTTGTGTAAGTGTAGGTTTCAGGGTCTCTAGCCTCTAGCCGAGCCTTACGAAATCCTGGGTTGTCCAACACTCGCCTTCTTTAAGTCTAATTCTGCCATGGCCCGTTGGATGGATGCAGGATATACATCGTGTTCTTCCGGAAGGACAAGTATGGAGCTGACGACGCCAAGAAGTTCAAGAACCTTGTGCAGGAGTGCATGGGTTTCGAACAGGGGTAAATGGGTAAACCTTGGTATATGATATCTGATATCTGATACCTAATGAAACATGGTCCTTACAAGTGATCTGATCATGGGGGCTTCTTCTACTGATTCCTCTGCACAAATTGTTTGTTTGTTAAACATGTGGACCAAATTTCACAAGAACTTGGAATCTGGAAATTACAAATTCCAAGACATCCTGCATCAAAATACTTGTCTTGAAAAGCATCACCCGGCCATACCATGTTCGACATGCAAACATACATATAGATGGAGTAGACAGATAGATAGGTAGATTCAGATAGACCCCATAGATATACAGATATGAAGATATATGAATATATATATATACATATATATACATACGTATATACTATATATATATAAATATAGATCAGATATGTATAACATTGTATAACAAACCAGTTTTCAAGAATGATCTTTTTTTTTTATATTATTTAGAACATGGAATCAGTTTTCCACCCGATATCCGATAGCAAGACCAATTGGGGCATGACAGTATGACTATGACATGTTACTTCAAAGCACTGCGCAGGAAGTTCTCTCGAAGCAGGCGGCCATTGGGCCAAAGGAGCTGGACGATCTTCTTTTGCCAGAGCATGGGCAAGACTTTACCCGGTGGATGGACAAACTGCTTGCTGAAAAGAGGCAAGGCCCAGTCAAGCAGGAGATGCGACACTTCTGCTGGGACAGGGTGGCCATGTGGTTTCTAGAGAAGTGGTTTGTCCACATGCAAGTGCACATGCATTTTCAATTCTGGAGGGGGAACCCCAAAATCTATCAAAAACCTAGGAAAAATGCATGTTTTTTGCATGTTTGTTGGTTTTTTCGAGGTTTTGGGGCCCAACATGCAAAAAACATGCATTTTTCCTAGGTTTTTGACCACTTTTGGGATCTGAAGCAGGGCCCACCAAAATGCATGTTTTTTGCATGTTTTTTGCATGTTGGACCCAGGAAATGGCCTAAACCTGGAAATCCTCCCAAAATGATGGTTTTTGGGCAACTTCATCACATGGAAATATATTGAAACACCAATGGAATCATCAGAAGGACCACTTCACCCTATGGACCCCAATCGGAAGCAATGTGCTTTTTTTGATTCGCCACTTGAATTGCAGCTTTCAGTTCTTTGATATCTTATCTACCACTACTGACTACTGAGCTTACATCACCCATTCAAACCTTTGCCGCTGAATCTATCATCTATTTTGTTTCTATCTCTTGGCTCTTGACTTATCTGGTTGATATCTACCTGAATCCACCTATCTAAAGATGTTTGTCGAGTCTAGTCTTCCTGATAATCTTTCTGTCTATAAGTCTCTAACCTATAAGTCTCTAATCTATAATCTATAAATTTATTCATCCATCCAACCTAATCTAATCTAATCTTTTCTCATCACAATCTAATCTAACCAAACCTACTCTAGTCTACTCTAATCAATCTAATCTCTAATCTAATCAATGTCATCTGGTCATCTAATCTACTCTAATCAATCTAATCTCTAATCTAATTAATCAATGTCATCTAATCATCTAATCAAATCTAATTTAATCTCATCAAATCTAATGTATTCTAATCTCATCAAATCTAATTTAATCCAACTAATCTAATCCAATCTCATCAAATCTCATCAAGTCTAATCTAATCAATCTAATCTAATCAAACTCAATCTAATCTAATCTGATCTTTTCTGATCTATTCTGATCTATTCTAATCTGATCTAACCAAATCTAATCTAATCGTATCAAATGTAACCTAACCAAACTAGTCTAATCTGATCTAATCTAATCTAATCTAATCAATCTAATTCAACCTAATCTAACCTAATCTACTCAGTATCTACTCTAATCTAATCTACTCTAATCTAATCAAATTCGTCTAATCGAATCTAATCTGATCTAATCTAATCAAGTCTAACCAAGTCTAATCTGAATCTAATCAAACTAATCTAATCTAATCTACTTTAATCAAACTCACCTAATCTAACCTAATCTGACCTAATCTGATCTAATCTGATCTGATCTGACCTAACCTAATCTGATCTAATCTGATCTAACCTGATCTAATCTGATCTAATCTGACCTAATCTGATCTAACCTGACCTAATCTGATCTAATCTGATCCAATCTATCTATCTATCTATCTGTCTGTCTATCTATCTATCGATCTACCTACATAGGTACCTTTTCATCGAGAATCTATCTGATCTATCTCACTTCACGGCAAAACATCCTTTTGGGCAAGACTTGACCATTCTGGGTCACATGGCTGGGCCTCAAAAAATGCTGACAATCAAAGCAGAACTCCTTGGTACTATGTTACTATATTTTTACAGTTTTATATGTACACCTCTTAGTACTTAATTTGATGGAACAACATACCAATTATATTATATATATGTATTTTTACACTCACTCAGCATTCCATCTTGTCTGCAGGAGAACAAGGGTGACAAGTGACGGGAGCAGATTGCTGAGTGGAGGCGCACTTCTCGCCTTCCTGCCTGCACACAAGTGTGGTCCCACGAGATGCAAGCCCAGGGCTTGAATCGAACAGAGAGGGTCTCAGAGCTTTTAGAAGTAGTTGCATCCACCAAGTTGCTTGAACAAGGGGTTGACATTTTGCAGCCCATCCCCTTTTCACAGAAGAAGCAACTTCTTCAGCATGTTTATTGCGACGTTTCACAGAACCCTAAATTTAGAAACTGTACAAACAAAGATGGCATCACCGGGTGCTTGGCGACCAGTACAGTTTTGTATAGCTTCGGAAGGGACAGGGCCCTTTTGCCTTTCGAATGGGCAATGCTGCAGGGCCACAGGCGTGGATTAAGATTTCCTGAGGGCATGCCAGGATCACAAATCAGGGACTTGATGGGGGAGGGAATGAACCTACCCTGTCTTGCCACCATTGTATGGTCCCTCTATGTGACCAAGGGATTGCTGTGAACTGTGCAGAAATTCATGTAGCGAACAGTCTCTACCTGTTACCCAGGTACTACTTACCTGCTACTGGTGTACCAGTGGCCCAAAGCATGTCAAAAAAGAAGTGTTTGCGCGATCCACTTGGGAAAGCCATGAGAGCCACAGTCACTAGCACTGAGTTTTAGTAGCTACTGTACTAGTTGCTGAGTGCTAGTTTCACCATCTCGGTCGGCTGTTTCTGAAGAACCGTTTGAATCCTGGACTTGCCTTTGGAGCAAAGATTTCTATGATTTTTAAAGGTCATACGGTCATATGTCATATGCCATATGTCAAAATCTTTTCACACCAAAAGACCAAATGATTTGGAATCGAATTGACTTGTGGTCTTGTGATTCTTAAAATTTAACCATGCCGGTAACCAGCCCAGCATCGGATTCGTGAAGTGCTCAAGCAACCTGCCGGTAACCAGCTGGCTGGCTTTTGTCAGTGTGTGCTGTCCATCCGTACCAGCCTTCGCCGCCTTAGCCGCAGCTAGGGCCCAGTGGCCAGTTGAGATGTCGACCAAGGCAGAAATGGGTGTGGGTACCAGGGTATCAACATGACTGATGACAAATTGATGATTAAACCACCTGTTGCAAAAATGAAGTTCCAATTACATTTCCACATGAAATTTACACACACACACACACTACTTTGAGTATGAAGTCAAGTCAAGGTTTGGGCTTGGTCTGTGATGAGCATGATCTTTTAGCATGATCCTTTACCTATGTCCTATGTGCACCAAAACTGAAAACCTTGAACCTTCTATTCTATTCTAGAAGTAAAGTATGAAGTTGCCCAGTCAAAGATGCTTTGGCCATCAAATGTAGAATAAATATTATGTCTATTTTGTCTTTTGAACACTGACCAAGGTTTGTTAATGCCCATCCTTGGTTCTGAATTGTTTCCCCGCACCTGCACGATGTTTAATGTCACAATGTCCTGGTACTTATTACTACTGTTTTTACTATTGAAACATGTTCCTTCTTTGCCTTCATTCCAACAGTTACCAACATCTATCTATCCATGCATGTTTTGGTTGACGTGGGTGTTATATAGTTATAGTTATGTTATGGTTTGCAACAGTAAGAGTAGCTTGGCCTGACCTGACCCATGTAGTTACCCGTCTGCACCACCGCTGCAGGCAAACCTCACTGCGGCGAAAGCCGCTCAGAAGAAGAAGAAGGAAGAGCAAGCCGCTGCAGAGGCCTCTGCCACCGCTGCCTTAGTAGCATTGGCGGATGACGAGGATCAGGGTGGGCAAGTCGAATTTGCTGCTCCAGCTCCGAAGCGCGCCAAAAGGGGTGACGTAATGTGTGGGGCATGTGGGAAGTCATCAAACGAAGCTTGGCTGTTCAAATGAGATGGGGTATTCTTGGGATGTGCCACCAAAAATAAAAACCAACCGTCTCCATGTGTGAAGTGTCATGAAACTTAAGGCCTTAAGGCTTAAGATCTTTATTTAGTTCATCCTATTTACTGAGTTTCCCCATGGTACCCTGCCTGTTTCCGATAGTTACCATAGTTTCCAATTTTTAGATTTCATAGCTGGAAATCTGTACGCTTGCCAGACTTGCCCATTGCCATAGCATAAATATGTAGTAGTAGCAGCAGCACTCGCTAGTTGTTACACCTTTACACCAACCATGACCCCCTAGAGCAGAATATATCGAAAGATAGATAGCTAGCTAGATAGATAGATAGAAAGATACATAGATAGATAGATAGATAGAAAGATACATAGATAGATAGATAGATAGATAGATAGGTAGATAGGTAGATAGGTAGATAGGTAGGTAGGTAGAAAGATAGATAGACTACAGATAGATCGATAGATAATTTCACACACAAATTTCATATACATTGTCCTTGAATGATATAGAGTATGTACAGGTGATTTACTATGGATGGTCAATAGGCAACACGCAGAGACTCATGGTTCTGTCCAGCCTCTCCCTGAAACCTAGGAGGTGCAGTTCCTCACAAACCACCTGGGACAACCTGTCTCTCCTGGTGACTTGGTTTGTATGGCCACTCAGAGGAGATTGCTACCTGGGGCCAAGAACTTCGAAGATTTCTGCGCCAGGATCAGGAATGACCCAGACTTTTCCAAGGACTTTGAGATGGCAAGAAAAGCACTAGAGGAGGAGATTTCGGAAAAGGAGGATGCCACCTTGCCGGTTTTCATACCTGCAAGTGAAATTGCGGAGGGTCGTCACTGCGGTCATGAAATCTTCACCAAAGCCGCATTGGTCACTGACTCTGACCTTGTCAAATTGACCAAAAAAAATGCAAAAGACCTTGGCTTGTCCCCATTCGTGACTGAGTGGCAGGGCTCTACGCCAACCCAATTCTATATCATCTCGTTGATGGGGTTGCCAGAAGAAGTCAAACTTGGACTGAAAAGGGTGAAGCTCTTTCAGACGACCTTTGTGAAACACGACCGTTTGTTTCTGACGCCAGAGTATCAGCTCTCAAAGCGTCAGCCCACTGACGTTTTGGATCACATACTCAGCAGGTACAATGAGAAGAAAAGGCCTACCGGCATGATCCTTCCAGGGGGCTTGCAGTCATTGGAAGACCTCAAGGATCTTGCCCAGATCCTAGAAAGCCAGAGGGTGGAAAGATTGAAGCAAGATGCAGCTGGCACAGGTGAAGAAGTTGCTCCTGCTGGACCAGTGGTCCAGTCAGCGAAATTTCTTGAGGGTCTTGACGATGATGATGGGACAAGTGGTAAGAAGAGGCAACGACGAAAAGGTGTGGCCACAGATTCAAACAAGCCTGCAGCTTTGCAAGCTTTGAAGGATGACGCAACATCGACAGCAGCTCCTTCAAGCAAGGCTTCATCCTTGCCGGCATTGGCTGACGGCCGGCCCTCAAGCGTCACTGGCAAGTCTGACGGATCGAAGGCCAAGAAGGGGGCTTCGGACCAGCTGGAGGGAATGGACGATGACATGCGTCAAGTGGCTGAGTTTCATTTGTCTTCTGCTGGTGCCAAGAATGCATCGGCAAAGTCTCTGGCCAATTTGGTCCCTTCCAAGTTCATGGACGGAGTCAAAGATCACGCCACTTCCCACGCACTTGTCGCAGTGCCTTTGGTTGCATTTTAGTGTTGTGTGACTTGACAAGGACTAGTCAACTAGTTTCATCATGTGTCACTGGTTTCTCATTTTTTCCTTTTCTACTTAGCCTGACATTGTCAAATCAAGTGGGCTTGGCTTCGGAAATCAGAGCTTGAACGAGTGCGAAGAGAAGCCAAGAGAGCTGACTTCTTCTCTACTTAGGTTGACTTTGTCAAGTCACTTTTCAAGCCAAGTCAAGTGGGCCAATTGCAATAATTAGCAGAGTTTCTGGTACCCTAACGCATTGCTTGTGGATGTACTATAGTGAGCCCTCTACTCATCTACTCATGCTCCTCCCTGGCTCCTTCCTCTTTCTTATTCCGATTACCTATTCTTTTTTTCTGTTCTTCTAGGGTTATAAATTCAAGGCCGGGATGTTGGAAAAGAATGTGGGGGAGCATGGGGGAGCATGTGTATTATACAGTACAGTATAGTACAGTATAGTCAGCACACATGCCCAGGACTGTTGTAGATTAGGTCACTAGGTGAGTAGGTGACTTTGGCCATGGTTATTCGCTATACTATATACCAAACTTCCCATCCATTTTCTTTTTTTTGCTATATATATATACATACTCTATGTTTCAAAACGAAACTTATGCATACTTTGTTATTCCAAAATATATTATATATATTTTACTATACTGTACTCTACAGTACTGAACGGCTCCATTGATACTGAACAATAAGTTTATTTTCAAGAATCGCATGGCACCCCATGGGACTGATGAATCTAGAATTTATAATACTGGGTTGGTTTGAAAATTCTTTTTAGTTAATCAAATGGGAACTGACGTGACTGACCAACTAGCGAACATGTAATCTCTACTTCTACCCCGCTCGACTCTACTCTATCCCAAGGCCAGAACAATCCTGGAATCTTTGGTCCAGAAGGACAAGAATTCATCGGAAGTGGAACTTCTCGAGCGTCGGATTCGAGTCTGTGAGGGCATCCAAAAGATTGCCAGGAGCAGTGCCAAGACCCTTGCTACTTGGGATGACTTTGGCCTGGTGCTGAAGGCTCTGAAAGATTCTTGGGGGGAGTTCACTTTGGAGATCAAGGGTAAGATCACTTTTGCCAAGTTGATGATCCACATGGAGGGCTTCTCGAAACTGAAGTACCAAGATGATTCAGATGCTAAAGATCTTCAGGAAAAGGGGAGGTCGCTTGTCGATGCTTTGCTACCGCATCTGGGACATACCGGCTGGGATCCACTGGATGCTTCCTATGCGGGTCTTCTTGCCCAAGCCTTTGCATCCTTGCAGGGCCATGTGACTGAGATCCAGGAGGGTCGGTGTGAGGATGATACTGCTTTGAAGGGTGCTGCGTCTGAATGCTGCAAAGTTCTTGAGGCAGCCGGGGAGGGGCCCAAGACCAGTTTACAATCAAGTTCACTTTCTAATTACTGCTTACTTACTAGGGACTTGGACCTACAGTTATGGCCCTTTACCAGTTATAAGTACTTATAACCCCATTTATAGAGTGTATAACCCCATTTATAACCAGTTATAACTCATAAACGGCCATAACTGTAGGGAACATTTGTTTTAAAAAGTCATTTTTATCCTGGGCCCCAGGGTGAAAGTAGAGAGTAGATAGATAGGTAGATAGATAGATTCAGATAGATAGTGTGATATTAGACTAGGATATTAGACTATAGAAGTGTAATTGAGAGTCATTTTGGTAAATGAGATTGAGGACACATGGAAGGAAGACAGGAAGAAAACATAAAGGTCAAAATTATCTTCTAACCTGTAGCTGTAGCTTTTGTTGATGCCAGTTGACCGAAGGAAGTTTAGAAGTCAAACTTCCGACAATATGGAGAGATGGAAAAGCAGAGGTGGGAAGAGTCAGGGAGGAGAAGAAAAGAAGTGAGAAGATCAGAGAAGAGAAAGAGTGAGAAGAAAGAAGATGCAGGTGCGCGAAAAGGTAGGAAAGCCACGATTCACTGTGTTTTTTCCAATGATTTGTGGCTCTGGAGGGTCGAAAAACTGAGGGGTTCGGACCACTTTTTGACATTCAGATATCAAAAAAGTGTACACTGACTAACTTAACTTACTTAACTCACTTAACTCACTACACTACACGACATTACACTACACTACTGTATACTACACTTCACTACACTACACCACACCACACCACACTACACCACACTACACTACACTACACCCCACTACACTACACTACACTGTACTGCAGTACACTACATTACACTACACTACTGTATACTACACTACACAACACCCCACTACACTACACTACATTACACTACATTACACTACACTTCACTCCACTTCACTACATTACACTACACTACAGTATACTACACTACACAACACTCCACTCCGCTACACTACACTACACCCACTACACTACATTGCACTACATTACACTCCACTCCACCCCACTTCACCCCACGACACTCAACTACAATACACTACACTACACCCCACGACACTACACCCCACTACACTACACTACACTCCACCACATTACACTCCACTACACTACATTGCTCTACATTACATTACACTACATTACACTACCCTCAACTGCACTACACTACACTGCACCTACAACTACAACCACAACTACAACTAGGCTACTTTACACTACACTAGACTACACTACATAGCACCACCCTACGTTACATTACACCAGACCCATTACACCTCTACAATTTAACTACAAATACACTACACTAATTACCTTACACCACAACTACAACTCCACTACATTGCAACTACAGCTGCGCTACACCACACTCAATCCAGCAGTTGTGGGTGAGGTGACCACTGCAACCATCGCAACCACTCCAACAAACACAAATCCAACCACCTTTCGGTCAATCAGTGGATTCCCTCTGCCATCCGTGATTCACAACAACCAACCTCTCCTATAGGTTTCCTATTCTGAAACTTCCGCCACCGCCTTGTGCGGTACTACTGGTACCAGAAAGTTAAGAGTAATTGAGTAATTTTCTTGAGTCTTGAGCTGCGTCTATGCCAGGTCGTGGCCACTGGCCTTGTTGGTCTCTTCCAGGATTCCTGCTTTAGAGCCTTGTTCCTCAATCCGAGCCAGTGTGTGGAGCACTTGAAGGCCATATCCTTCCTGATCCTCAAAGCCATGGACCCAGCAAGGAAAGCTTTGGCATCCTTTCAGTCCCAAGATCCAGATTCTTTCGTTGAAGCCAATGCTTTCGAACGTGTCACACAGTCCCTGAACAGGGTGGAGAAGATAGCACGTTTTGTGGGAAGCTTGCTTTTCAAGCCGCATCAGCTCACTCAGCTTGATGAGCACATGTCGTCTGGGGCTCCTTTGGATGTTTCTGAAGATTCGGTGTGGCTTGTCGGCTACACTGGGAAACAGAATTTGGAGAAGGGATTGAATGAGATTGTTGGCAAGACCCCTTTCTGGAGCAAGCTTGTGGACGAAGTGGTTCGAACTGCGAGTTCAACATTGCGGCTGAGACCTCAGAGAGACCGTGCCTTAGAGACCCTGGCGAAGATCGCAGCTGGTGACATGGAGATGAACTCTGTGAGACTTGAAAGTTTGGCCGCAGTTTGTGGAGAACTGCACTCGGGAATGAGGGCCTGCGAAGTGGAAGACGTGAACAGCAAGATGCTGGAGCAGATGCACAAGATCGCAAAGTCTTTGATCAAGGGAGAGGTGGATGTGCGCCAAGGGAGCAAATTGGTCCATGCCTTGATGAAGGCGTTCAGAGTGTTCAGTGCTTGGCCGGGGTCCACCGACAAGATCAAGGACTTGTCAACCTGGATGACTGCCAATGAGAAGGAAATGACCTTGGAAGACCTCATGTCATTGTCCGAGAAATCGGAGGTGGCCGGTGTCGCCAACTTGGATGATGTTCAGGCCATCATGGGGAAGCTCAACAAAGTGACCCTGCCCCAAGAGCGTCCTGAACTGATTCTAGCTGCAAAGAGGTTGTTGAACACATCTCTTCGGGCAGTCATTGCAGAGGCCGGCTGATCTGGTGAGACTTGAATAGACTTGACTCAGACTCTGGGAAATAAGCATTCACATGGATTCATAGATGGAGGTTCAATCAGCCACTGCTAGTAGAGAACAGGTAGGTAGATAGATGATATATGGATGCATGGATTGGATAGGATAGATTCGGATAGATTTATATGTAAATATGTAAATACATATACTGTCTAGAGTCTAGATTCTAGATGCAGAGTGTCATAGATGGATGGATGTAAAGTATAGAGTATAGATAGATAGACAGACTGATAGATAGATAGATAGATAGACAGATAGATAGGTAGAAAGATAGGTAGATAGAAAGACAGATAGGATAGGTAGATAGATAGGTAGATAGATGGATAAACAGTCAGATAGATTAGATAGATATGATAGATAGATAGATAGATAGATAGATAGATAGAAAGATAGATAGATAGATAGCTAGATAGCTAGATAGCTAGATAGCTAGATAGCTAGATAGCTAGATAGCTAGATAGCTCGATAGCTCGATAGCTCGATAGCTCGATAGCTCGATAGCTCGATAGCTCGATAGCTCGATAGCTCGATAGATAGATAGATAGATAGATAGATAGGTAGGTAGGTAGGTAGATACATAGATAGATAGATAGATAGATAGATAGATAGATAGATAGATAGGTAGATAGATAGATAGATAGGTAGGTAGGTAGGTAGATAGATAGATAGGTAGGTAGGTAGATAGGTAGATAAACAGTCAAATAGATAGAGATAGATAGAAAGAACACGTGGGTTACGCAGCCCCATTGATCAGGTGAAGGACGACCCGAACAATGAGCTGACCTACACCCAACTGATGAAGAAAACAGGGTTGGTGGGCATGATTGGCAATCTACTCGGCTACAAGGAGGATTCCATCGAATCTCAAAGTGTGCGTCATCACTGTGTTGTCCTGAAGTATGGCCTTTCTTTCAGGAATGCGGTCTCCAAGTTGTCTAGCTTGGGTGTTGTGGATGAGAGGGTTCGAAGGGACAAGAGCAAGGCTCGGATGGTAGAAGTCTTGCAGACCCACTCACAGGTCTGTGAACAGGTCCAAAAGTTTGAGAAGTTGCGAAAGGACACCCTCAAAACGGTTCATGACCATGGCCTTGATGACACCACCCTTGACCTTATGGCTCTCGACCCAGTTGGTGCTTTCCAGGGCTTGTTGGAAGATGAGCGCATTTACGACACCATGGCACGTCACCTTGTGGTTCACGGTGAGTCTTTGAACAAGACATGTGAAAAGATTGAGAAGGGTGTGAAGGACATCATGGGTGAAAACAGCTGGAAGAAGACCTTGCTTTCTGCTGACCCCATTGAAAAAGTCTTGGAGGTGGCTGGCGACACGTTGGTCAAGGTGGAATTGAAGGGCCTCAATTTCCTGAACCTGGTTGAGGGCCTACAGACAGAAACTAGACTATATTGAGTAGGAGTAGGACGGTAGTCAGGAGGAGTAGGGCCTAGTGTCACTGTTGTTGTTGTTGTTGGTGGTGGTGGTGGTGGTGCTACTTAGTTGAACCTGGCATTTGGCATGGTTGGGGGACGGATGGGGGATACACGGTCGGATACCCGGATACCAAATAAATCGGATAAATTGATACACTGGCTTTACAATGTATTTTTCAATTTATATGCTAGATTACTATATACTATATACCTGGCAAAATGTTGGACAATAACTTAAAGTATAGTGAGCCATTCCTCTCCCAATCCTGGTCCTAGACTCCTAGACCCTAGCCATAGTCTTGGCATCTCTGAGTTTTTTGTGTCCTTGAACACATGAAGTACAGAGTATAGATTATCAACATAGACTTTAGATAGATAGATTGTTTTGACATGTTCAGTGGTAGCACCACAGTGTAGTGACCAGCACTAGTCACTAGCAATTAGCCGCCACTAGCCGCTGGCCTTTCCTTTCCATCCCCATGATAAATTGCCATCCAGTGACCCCCCAACCAAGCTGAAAGCATCACTCACCAGTGCTGCCGCATTGCCTTCCTAGGAGCTGTCAGAATCGAAGGTTTTTCTGGAGCAAATCACTGAGTCCCACTTCAAATTGAAGGATGACGTGGAATCAGGTTTTGGCCAAACCGTCGTGAATTTCAAGGCTATGGCACAAGAGTGCAGTGTGACGCTGGTTCAATCAACAGTGCCTAGGCATAAGCCTGAACCTAGACTAGACTTGGGAAAAAACACCGGCATGGTGCTGGATGTGTGCACGTGCAAAAGTATTTACTACATTACTACATGTGAAAATCAAACATATCTAGATTTAGATTAAACAATATACAAATAGGTTTTACAAAGATATTTTCATAGCAATATAATTAATAATTTAACAGGTGTAAATAAATAAATATATATAACTACACATATGTATGTCGACACATATACAAATACAAATGACATATGATATATGTCATATGTATACATATGTATGTATCTCGATGGGGTGGTATAACTTAGTGAAGTTGGCTACACTTATCTTCTTGTTCAGTTTGAGGGCCGATGTCCAATGACCAAGGGCTTCAAATTCTTGGGGAATGAGTCATAAGTATTGAGGGTTTGCTTGGGGCTTGGGGCTTTGCCGACCTACATACACTGCCCACTACATGTCTCGTTTAGCCCAGGTGCTGTATGCTGAGCAGGTGTTGGTCCTGGGTCTCCGCCAGGCCAAACATCCGAAAGCTGACGCGCAGGCATTGGGCATGACTAGAGCCGTAGTCTCAAATGCCCTTGTCATGTTTTCCAAAGTGAAGAAAAACTTTGGGATTGGTAGCCCCACTGATTCGGCTGCGATTGATGATCCTACTGACATCAATGAGATTCAGCCATGTTTGCACAAGGAAGGCAGTGCGCTGCTTGGGTAGAGTGTAGAGTCGAGCGGCACTGCACAAAAGTATCATAGAGTCATGTCATAAAGTCAGCCAGAAAGCTTTTGTGGGCTTTGCGGCGTGACGACCGTTCCCAAATCAGCAATCCAAGAGAGTGGTATGACAACGATGTCCCAGAACCTGTTGTTCAACTTTCCTTAAAACATGACTGTCTGGAGATTTGAAAGCTAAACAAATAACCAGTTTTCCCAGTTCTCACCACATCTATTTATACCTGCTGCATATATTTTCATCATTGTACTGGGGCCTTCTTTTGTCTGGCACCGAACCCTCTCGTTTTGACCTGACCTGATTTGCATGAGACGGCAAAAAAAGGAAACAGCACAGTTTGCTTTGCTTTGGCCACCTGTGAAGTTTGAACCATGCGTCGAATCTATCAGAATCTATCATATGCATATTTGAAACTATAATTTCAACATGCATATGGCATATCCAACCCACATAGAATTCAACATGCATTTTCAACATGCATAAAATTTCAACATGCATGTTCAACATACATAAAATTTCAACATGCATATCCAACATGCATCAAACATGCATTAAATGGTATATAGGGCTGTGGCTGGAGAGATAATCATAAACCTATCACTAGTCGAGGGATAACCCTTCAAATTATATAATCATAGAGGGGCCCCATGGCAGGGGTTGACCCCATGGATATCAATCTATTCTGTTGTGGGTTTACCACACCCTGTAACAACTTTGGATTTCACAGCTTTCCGATGCTCAGTTTAAATGCTTGCAACATATGGCGTCTAAATTTCTTTGTTCACCAGGCACCAACTCAAAAATCACAAAAACACCAGTTGTGAACCATCGCTATGCAAACATGTTCTAAGATCATAGCCAGTAAGAGTCCAAAACATACAGCACTTCGCTTGAAATTGGTCTATCGGTCTATCACAGTCCAATTTTCAGTGATTATACATATAATTATGTAAATAATTATGTATATAATTATGTATATATTTTTTTGAAATATATTTATACATATATATATATATAATTATGTGTATATATATATATGTAGATAGATGGGTGTAGGTCAAAATTGGGTACCCAATTTACTGGATGGTTAACAAAAACAAAGACCAACATCTGCTGTTTCATGAGCTCAGTAAGGGGGCTGGCTGTTGTGGATGTGGGCAACAACATGGGATGCCAACACACAACGCCAATAAAACCCAACTGGAGATACTATCTCCAACTGGAATGGCATTTAAGGCTTTGTTGTTATAAAAAGTCTGTGTCCATTTATAAAAAGTCTGAAAAATTAATGAAATTACAGTATTTGGATGAGTGAAAATTTGGAAAAATGAAAATTACAAAACTATCAGAGAAATAAACTAATGAAAAATAACATCATAAGGTTCATTACATGATGTTGACCACTGCTGTGAGGATGTGTAGATCTGGACAGGCACTGTGAGAGTGCTGTGAGAGCGCCTCTCTTCCAATAGATTTGGTAAATTGCGTCATCGGTTCAAGGCAAACCCATCACTGTGAGAGTGTGTGTGCTCAAGAGCCTGGCGACATTAGATGCCATATGGCCATGTCTAAATTTCAGGTTGGATCATATCATATTGAATGCAAACCAAGCCCACCACTGTGAGAGTGTGCACTGTGAGAGTGTGCGCTGTGAGAGTGTGCACTGTGAGAGTGCTTACCTGAACCTTTGCTGGGTAACTACTAACGACAGAGCCGGTTCTGGATGTGTTTCACCGGCCAGGCGACTTCAAGCCTGCTTGCAAGGTACTAACCTCAGTATGTGCATTTGCATTTTGAATTTGTGGCTTGGAAATTGCTGTGACAGCTTATTGCACTGTGAGAGTGCTAGGAGAGTGCTAGGAATATGCTGTGACAGATTATTGCACTGTGAGAGTGCTAGGAGATTATTGCACTGTGAGAGTGCTAGGAATATGCTGTGAAAGCCCATTGCACTGTCAGAGTGCTGGTGATAGGGCAATGTCCTCCCGCATTATTTTTTGCAACCCTTCATGCCTGGCTGCCCATGCCCTGAATCCTGCCTGGAAACTGTCAGCACCATCATCCAGCCAAACCTTGGCCCATGATGTCAGAGAATTGCTTTCGAAGAGCAAACTATAGAATTTCATTTGGAAACTTCGTGGCTTTGCTGTAAAGGATCATATCATTGTTTGGCATTGCATCCTACTTGAATTTTGTTCAGATCTTCCGGGTTCCACAACCTGCTTGATTTTGATAATCAAAAATCCATGGGGAATTGGGTGGTGAAAAATCTTTCGGATCTGGGGTGTGACCAAAAACCGTCGGATCGGAGATGCCTAAAAACCGTCGGATCTGCAGGGCTAAAAATCTGTCGGATCTAGGGTGTTAAAAAACCGTCGGATCGGGGTTGTGCAGATCTGAACACCGAAAGATCTGAAGAATTTTTTTTTCTTCGGATCCCATTTGAAATAAATAAGCAGAAAAAAAACAAAAAAAATGGATCTGAAGAGAAATCCCACGGATCATGGGCGCACAAACTGTGCAGGAGAGATCTGGAGAAAATTTTTTTTTCCTTCGGATATCGGAATGAAAACCAAAAAACTTCGGATCTTGATAGCGCAGATTGTGTGGCAAAGATCTGTTGGATCATTGTTCCCGCTGCAAAATCTGAAGATTTTTTTTTTCCGTCGGATCTCATGTACGCAATCTGTGTATGTGAGATCTGTGGGATTTTGCTTTTTTTATTTTGAATTTGTTTAAATATTTTGTGGATTTTTTTATTTCGATCTGCTTGGTGTGTCTGAAACCTGATATGTTTTGGTCACCCAGATCTGAAAAAAAGGATGCACCCCCATCAACAATATAGCAGAATCTATGTCTTTGCCTTGGGCTGTCCCCCCCTCATTCTGGAACTTTTTTGTGGGTAAGAACAGATGCCATCTGGTATAGTTCTGAATTAAAACAGCCCTGTTGGCACTGACATTGCCCTATCACTAGCACTCTCACAGTGCAACGGCTTTCACAGCATATTCCTAGCACTCTCACAGTGCAATAATCTCCTAGCACTCTCACAGTGCAATAATCTGTCACAGCATATTCCTAGCACTCTCCTAGCACTCTCACAGTGCAATAATCTGTCACAGCATATTCCTAGCACTCTCACAGTGCAATAAGCTGTCACAGCAATTTCCAAGCCACAAATTCAAAATGCAAATGCACATACTGAGGTTAGTACCTTGCAAGCAGGCTTGAAGTCGCCTGGCCGGTGAAACGCATCCAGAACCGGCTCTGTGTGTAGTAGTTACCCAGCAAAGGTTCAAGTAAGCACTCTCACA